CATACCACAATTTGTTCAACTATTCCCCAGCTAATGAGAAAATACCATTTTGTTTCCAGGTCTTTGCTTTAAGAAAAAGTACTCCTGTCAATAAGCAATATTTTGTATATGTGAGACCCTTGCCTCTGTCTTTGACTTTCTTGGAGTATATGCCCAGCAGTGGTATTGCTGGGTCAGGCTTTGGCGACTTTTCTAATAAGAATTGTTGGACCAATTCACAATTCTACCAACAACGAATTAGTTTGTCTTACTTTCCTACAGGTCCTTCAAAATTTAGCGTTTTCATCTGTCATCTTTGCCAATATAATGGACATAAGGAAGAAAATCTAAGTTTTTCTTAGATGAGTAAGTTTCTCCTATTATTAGTGATGAGGATTCTTTCACATTATTGTAGAATATGAGCTCCTTGAACAGGTTGTTTCATTCTTTTTATTTGTATCCCATCTGTCATGTAGTAGGCATTTAATAAAAGCTTGTTAACTGATTGAAGATTTGCATTTCTTCTTTTGATATCTTCTTGCTCACAAGCTTTCACCTCTTATTATTGGGGGAATGACACATGTTCTTATCTATTAATTCTTTATGTATCTTGGATAGGGCAGCTAGGTGGTATAGTGGATAGAGTGCTGGTCCTTGGAATCAGGATGACCTGAGTTCAGATCTGACCTCAGATACCAACTAGTTGTGTGACCCAGGGCAAATCACTTAACCCTGTTTGCCTCAGTTTCCTAACCTGTAAAATGAGCTGAAAAAGGAAATGGCAAACCACTCCAGTATCTTTGCCAAGAAAACAGAGTCCTACACAACTGAACAACAAGTATCTTGAATTTCTTATCTTTAAGATCAATCAAGCACTTACTAAATACCTACCAAGCATCATGTTAGGGGAAAACAGGAGACTGCAATTTTGAGTTTCACAATTAAGTTTGATTTGAGAGGTAGCTTACTGCAGAAGACCTCTAGACAGAAGGTGAGGTAGGAAGAGCAGGGAGAGTCTAATCTCTTCCAATGTCATGACCTGGACCATGTTTCTCCACCTCGGGAAGCCTGAGTTACCATATCATACCCATGCTACCTCTTACAGGATCTTGTGAAAGGCAAAGGGAATTAAAGGTGTGGCATAATTTTCCTGCATCAATTTTAAGTAGCTATAATTATTATTAGTCATGTTAAGTATTACTAAATAATTTATACTGGTAACATTGAACTTTTAACACATGGTAGTATTTGTACCCACCCCAAGTGTCTGTATGCACAAGGCCCTCCCACAAGGGCCATACCCAGCCACACCCCTGCCCTTCTGCTGCCTGCAGCTACCTCAGTCTAACCTTAACCACTATCTACCCTGGGCCCACCCCCTCCAAGTGGGGCCATGATTAGAAGGAGCCTGGGCCTACCCTCCTCCACTAGGCTGACCCTAAGGAAGGAGTGCCCGCCTCTCCCCCCTCCCCACCTCCCAGCCCCAGGGACCATGAAATGTCCTAGGGAGCCCAGAAATAACAGGACTCCCCCAGCTCCCTGGGGAACCCCTTTTGGGGTTTTATCCTAAGTGTCTATTAAATCACTGCAGGGCTTTTGGCTTTCCAGTGGGGTGACTTGAGATATGACAAAGACATGTTTCTCTTAAAAGTGTTTGTAAACCAGAAAAGATTATCTAATCCAACCCCCACATTTTACAGAAGGGGAAACAGAATCCTAGATAAGAGTGACCTGCTTAGGGTCCTGCAGTAACTGGTTGGGCCAGGATTTAAATTCATGCCCTAAACATTTAAGGGTTTGGTTTTTTTTCAGCCAAAGACAAGGTTTATTAAAGATCTGCCACATTGCCAGACTCTTGAGGAATCTTGAGAGTCTAAGGGTTTTATTTTAAAACAAAAAGTTAACCATTTAACTGCATTTGAAGGCTGCAGCTCTTATCCTCCTACTGCCAGTGTACTTACTGCGCAGTCACTAGTATTTGTGGAATAATGTAAACACGAGTCACCAGATTTGATATCTACAAATAAGTTGTGGTCCCTTAAAAGTTCAACAACACTGTTATAGCCTAAAACATTTTTCAGAACTCTTGGAATAGGTTTCTTCATCTATAGTCTTTTAAATATGCTCAATGGGTGAGGCTGATTTTTGGAAACTGCCAGAGATCAACAGGCACTAGAGTATGGTGATTCAAACTGGCTGATAACATTCAGCATCAAAAATAAAGTAACGAGACCTGTTTTTTTAGATGGCTTGAAAACTGGCTTTTGATAAGTTCGAATCATGTTGGAAGCAATGGAAGCATAGTTGAAATAAGGATGCATCATCATTCTTTGAAAGACAACACATGTAGACATCAGTTGGGATGCTAAGTATTTCAATAATTTACATATCTGATTATTATATTACTCCTTCACAAAAATGTACTGATTATGATGTCAACATTAATCAAACTCTCAGAATGCTGCATTTTTCTTTTCTGAAAGCCCAAAGCAACAACAAAATCACAAAACTTGAAAATGTGTCTTAGAAGAGAATAAGGATCACAATCAGTTGGAAAAAAAAATTTTTTTTTTTTTTTTGGCAAGGCCATCGAGGTTAAGTGACTTGCCCAGGCTCACACTGCTAGTAAGTGTCAAGTGTCTGAAGCAGAGGTTTCCAAACTTATTTGGCCTACCACCCCTTTTTCAAGAAAAAAATTACTCAGCACCCCCTGGAAATCTACTTTCTTTAACCCTTTAATGATTTTTTTTTTAATTTGCATCATTTCAAAAGAATGTATTGTTAAAAAACAATTACTGCATCTTAAATTTAATAATTTATTGTAAATTTGTGGGGGTTTTTTTGCATTGAAATTTTGATGATGCAATATTAAGTTAAATGACCATACAGTATTGTGTTATAAACAAGTCATTATACCCACATATTCCTGCCAATGCATCCTGGACTTCCCAACACTTGCTTGTTAAGACCTATTGATGGACTTGATCACTGATCAGTTATATCATAACCATTTATAACTTGTCATACCCAATTATAACTTGTTATAACTGGTGTAACTTGCATTTTGTGTGTTTATTTGGAAAATAATATAATCATTAGGACTTTAACTCTGTTACACAACAGATGAAACATGTACGGTTTCTCAAAATTCTCTTCTCTTCTTTCCTTATGCTTCGACGGCCCTCTTATTTTCATTCAAAAGCCCCCAAATGTACCCATGGCTACTACCACCCCTGGTTCAGTCCAGCATCCCCCAGGGGGCAGTATTGCCCATTTTGGGAACCTATGAGGTTAGATTTGAATTGAACTCAGGTCCTCCTGACTCCAGGACCTGTGGTCTATCCATCGTGCACATAGCTGCCCCCATAACAGAATCCACAAGCATGGTATGCTTTTGCTGGATAAGCAACAGAAATCATAGAATACTGAACTAAAAGTGGCCTCAGAAGCCCTTCAAATCGACAAATATTAACTGCTAATTTCTTATATACCCATCACTGTGCTAGGTGTTACAGTTCAAAAGTAGTATGAGGCACATAGTCCATAACTTCATGAGCAAGCCAAGATATATCTGAATTAAACATTAGAGATAAAGAATTTATGTAAGGTAACAGCTCTGCAAAAGAGAAAAATGAAAACAATTAATAAATACTTGTGATTTAATTCAATAAGAGCTTAAAATCTGGGAAGGACATAACACATACAAAGCTAATAATAACACACAATATTATATAAGTTCATTAATAAAGTACAAAACAAAGTGCCACCTTTGATCCAAGGAGAAAGGTGAAGGTTATTAACATGTTTAAATAAATGTTTCCCCATGTATTTCAATCACCTGTATGTTTTCTTCCATCTAAGCAGCATCTTACATTCCTACTGATTTGTTCAATCAGTTAGCAAGTATTTATTGAGCATCTACTATGTGTTTTGGTGCTATGAAGAATATATTTTTCAAAAGCATAAGATATATTCCTTTCCTTACAAGTAGTTAAAATCTATTTGAGAAATTTAACATGAGAGTGAACAGAATCATAGATGGTACAGTTGATAGAGGGCCAGGCCTGAAGTCCAGAAGATTCATATTCCTGAGTTCCAATATGGCCTCAGACACCTACTAGCTGTGCGACCCTGGGCAAGTCACTTAATCCTGTTTGCTTCAGTTTCCTCATCTGTAAAACAAGCTGGAAAAGGGAATGGCAAACCACTCCAGTATTTCTTCGAAAAATACCCCAAATGGGGTCACTGAGAATCAGACATGACTTAAAAACAAGGAACAGAATTAAAAGAATACAGACACTTACTACAACTATATAAAGGCAACAATGACAGCAACTAAATCCTGATTCCTCCCAGCAGCTGGTGCCTCTCCCCAAAACTGCCACAGATATTTTTATATAAACTTATATGTATACATATTGTCTTCCCCTATAGAATTTAAACTCCTTGAGTGCAGGGACTTTTTAATTTTTTTTGAGTCTCAGTTGCCTACCATGGTTCCTGGCACACAATAAGCACTTAATAAATGCCTGCTGATTAATTAACCGACTTAGCATACAAGAAAAGAAATTCAGAATGGATCACAGAAATAAATAATTTTGTGGTAATCTTGTTAAAGTTAATATAGTCTTTTTTTTAAAACTGTCAACAAAAGTTTGCAGTTACATACACAAATAATTAACAAAACAAATTATTATTTATTATCTTATATTTAAAGGCCTAAGAAGTAAAGTATTCAGAGAAGGAGAAGACCTTAGGGGAAATGTTACAGAAGGTATCTCCAATTTTGTGATGTCCCAAAAGCTATTGGAGACACAGGACTAGAGCTTAGGATGGGGCTAGGTTTCACAGATCTATGAGTCTGTTAATTTCTGTTTATGGTCCATTATATTAAGTAGATTCTGCAAATTAACTTATTTTCTATAGCATTTATTATTCATTAGGCATAAAAGAAAGTTGTATAAAGATCACCAAAAAACTGAACCAGATTATTACACCTTTAACAAGAACGAAGACAGGACTGGAATTGAAAGAGAACATTTTAATGTAAGAATATTTCTCATATTACAAAAGTATAGCTCCAATAAAAAAAAGAATATGGGACATTTATCTTACATAATAATTTTGATAGTTAGCAGTCGTCATAGTGCACCTGCCTAGTCACTACAGAAGATAGAATCTTTCACTTTGTACCTATTTACAATATAAAAGTGCATGGCTCATAGTGGAGAGGCAATTTTGACAAATATATAGAAAAACAGTTAGAAAAGAGTTTATAGTGAGAGACCAGACAGCAAGTTAGCTGTTCTAGTATCTCCCCCTCTTCTGGTCTGGTAAGAGACACTATACTCAGTAATTGCTATGAAATGTAGCTTCAGTTGTATCAACATCATGCTCCTAAAAAAAAAAAAAATGAAAAATTTCAGTATAATGCTAAAACCCACTCATTTAAACACTAATGACTGGTTAATTGCTGCTAATTAATTGCAGCAAAAAACTTCAGGTTTGTAGGACTGATATAACATTTAGATTAAGAGGCTGAGAGGTCAAATGACAGAGCAGAATAGCTGGACTTGGAGTCTGGCAGGATTTTGTTCAGATCCTACCTCTGAAACTAACACAGAGACTACTGGCTGGTTCCTTTACACTCTGAGCCTCAGTATCCTCATTCAAGTGGGGTGATGTTGGTCCTACTGACCTCAAAGGACAGTTGTGAGGATTAAATGTGATCACGCTTGAGAAATACTTTGCAAATCTTAAAGTGCTAGTCAGTTATTATTAATTTCACCCAGTCACAGATTAAGATTTCTAAAATTAAAAGCTGATCATCCACTGCTATTAAGATCAACAAACACAAGGCCTGTGCCCCTCAATCACACCTTTTTACCAAAGACTGAGACAGTAACTACTCTTCCAGATACCTAAGTGGCCCAAAACTCCTTCTCACCTTCCTGCTTAAGGTGTCCTGGGCCCTATCACTTCGATTACTGGCACAAGAGTTACCTCTCCACAGTAATTAGGTGACACAGTGAATAGAGTGCTGGGCATGGAGTCAGAAAGATCTGAGTTCAAATCTAGCCTCCAACACTTAGTAGTTGGGTGACTCTGAGCAAATCACCTAACCACTGTTTGCCTTAGTTCCCTTATCTGTAAATTGGGGATAATAACAGCACCTACCTCCCAGGGTTGTTGAGAGGATCAAATTAGGTAATATTTGTAAAACCCTTAGCACAGTGTCTCTTACACAGTAGGCACTACATAGATGTTTATTCCCTCCCTCCTTCCCTCTTCTGTCCTCAAACTTATATCCACTAATCTGCTCCTTCTCACAGGAACACTAATAGCTGGGGGCAAAGGTAGGCAATAAGCATTTGATTTTTAAAAATTGGAAGGAATAAAGAGCAGAGTTGATAAATTAAGCCAAAGGTTGAATCAGTTCACATGGCAGAAATTCCTTATACCTGTTTTCGAAATACGATTTTCAACATCAGAACTTTAGATAATATTTTAAAAAAAACTGTGAATCCAGCTCTCAGATGGAACCAAACAATACTTCTAGTATTCGGTACATAATAAAAACATTACCTGATTCAGTTTCTTAAACTCCACAACTTGGAAGAATATGTGCTCCAGAACATGTTTAGCATCTTGCTGATCCTTCTGTAGTTTACTAGTCACTCCCAGAATGTCACCACACTTCCTGACATAGAACTCCAGGTCCTCTTCAGTACCTAAAAGAATGGGCACACTCAGCTCAACTACTGTCTCCTGCTACAACCTAAAGTTTAAGATGTACCACATTCTACATATTCACAGAGCTTTTGCTATCTCTAAATTAAATTTTCAAATATAAGATGCTATTAAAGTTATCTACAGTAAAAGAAGCTTTAGAACCCTATTATTTGTATATGGTGGTGAAAGGTCTTATCAATTCTGATAAAGGCTTGACATTTCTCATTAAAAGAGGCTTGAATGGTTGGGGTACCTATGATTGCCTGAGCTATCATTTCCACATTACATATCAAGCAAAGATGACTCTTTTGACCCAATGGCAACTGTGCGCGCACATTTTAATTTCTTTTCTGATAGTGGTGATTGATTTGTATTCATCCATCCATATTCTTTGCTTAACCTACCCTGGGACCAATAGCACACATTTGTGAGAAGCAGCTTACGCCAAGAGCACAATCTGTGGCCAGTTAATGGTTCATAAAAGAATAAAAACCCGTATCTTCAATTTATTAACACTATGGTTTAACTAACTGGGATAATGAGCCACTTGAGGGGAAAATATAAGAATAATTTACATGAAATAAACAAAACATAAAATGTACTTTAAAATTCTATCCATGTTTTTTTCAGTTCAGTGAGATAAATGTTACAGTTACGTATTTTGAAAAAAAAAAACAAAATATATAAATTGATCAGGCTTACACTTATTGGTAATTTGAGCAAGCCGTGCTTTCTCTGAAGAGAAAGTTTCATCCAAGTCAAACAATTCCAGAGGAGGTGGTGGTAATTCTCTGAAACTGGGAGGAAAAACCTAGGTATAAAACATCTTTTGTTATTAATTGTGCAAAGTTTACCTTAGGCTATTGAAATTTCTAAAATGAATTAAAACAGTTAAAATAGAAATATCCTTACTTTATGATCTCAGAATGCACTGCTATTGCATAAGTACTTTTAAGTGTAATACCACAGCTACGCCATTTAAGAAATCTCAGACCCTTCCTTATGTAAAACCCTCAGTTGTTATTCCACTCCTGACCTCCCACTTGTCCCTCTCCTTTACACACCTTCACCATTTCCATTATCAGTTGTTGAAGCAAATCTACTTAAATTCATTAATTCAATGGATATTTAACCAGATAATTTAATAAACAATTGACTTAAAGCAGCTATTATGCTATTTGATGAGATGTTAGTAAGTGAATACTGACTATGTGAATAGAACTATACAAGAGCGGTGGGTGATACAAAGAACAATTCAACAAACATTAAGCACTTACTATGTGCAGAACATTGTTCTGGTCACTGAGAAGATAAAACAATAAATCTAATTTCTTGTAGAACAGTAGCATTCATTCAATCACATTCACATACCAAAATTTGTTCAGCCATTCTCCAATCAATGGGCATCTACTTTGTTTCCAGTACTTTGTGATCACCATCAGTGCAGTTACAAGTATTCCCTGGGCTAGGGAGCCTTTCTTTCTGTAAATGACTTCATTGGGATACAGGCCTAGCAGTAGAATCTCTGGATTAAAGAGTGTGGGCATTTCAGTCACTCTCTTCACACAATTCCAAATGGCTTTCCAGAATGGTTGTTAGCCACTCATCTTCATTTATTGTTTTCTCTTCTACAGTTAAAGTTAGTGTATACTCCATTCTTTTCATTCTGCTTGGCATCCTTCATATCAATTGGTCTTAACTGCATTCTAGCATTCCATTAATATTTCACAATTTATTTAACTATTTCTTGATTGTTGAACTTTTAAGTTTGTGGAAAACAAAATTCAGTACTGTGTTTTGGGCTCAAGCCTGCCAGAGACACCCCAATCCATCCTCTACGCAGCCACCAAAGTGATTTTCTAAAAGCACAGGTTCAACCATGTCACCCCTCTACTCAATAAACTCGAGTGGTTCCCAATCACCTCCATGATCAAATACAACATCCTGTGTCTAGAATTCAAAGCCATTCTTAACCTAGTCCCTTCCTTTCTTTTCAGTCTTCTTACACCTGACTTCCTGCCACATACTCTTCAATCTAGTGATCCTGGCTTTCTGGCTAATCCTTGAACAAGCTACTCCATCTCTTGGCTCCAGGCATTTTCTCTGGCTGTCCCCCAGGCCTGGAATGTTCTCCTTCCTCAGCTTTGCCTCCTGGCTTCTTTTAAGTCTCACTTAAAATCTAAACTTCTATAGGAAGCTTTTCTCAACACCATTTAATTCCAGTGCCTTCTTTTATTTCCTCTTTATCCTGTATATAGCTTGTCTGTATGTAACTGGTTGCACGTTGTCTCCCCCATTAGACTGTAAGTTCCTTGAGGGCAGGGACTGTCTTTTTCTTCTTGTATCCTCAGCACTTAGCACAATGCCTGGCACATAGTAGGTACTTAATAAATGTTGAATGACTAACAGAGACAATTTTATTCATTAAATTATTTTAATTCTAAGCATCTTTGTTTGGAGAGAAAGAAATCTGAAAAGGACAGTTTTGTCATGTATTTGTAAATATGACACAAGCCATTTTCTTTTTTTTTTTTCCAGCTAGGCAATGGAGTTAAGTGACTTGCCCAGGGTCACACAGTAAGCGTCAAGTGTCTGAGGTCAATTTTGAACTCAGGTCTTCCTGACTCCAGGGCTGGTGCTCTACCTAGCTGCCCTGACACAAGCGATTTTCACCTTATAATTTCCAGTATTTCCAAAAGAAGACAAAATTCCACACTAAGACAAAACACTTTCAAGTAAAAGTTTGGTTAACAGCTTTGATTGTACTTGCAAAGTTGATTTCTTTGAAACTAAACCTAAGACTTTATTGCTATCACTATTAAAATGCCAGTTTATCTTTTACCAAGTAGGTTCAAAGGTAACAAGATGAATATTTTGCTGTTCTTCTAGCCTCACTTCTACTAGCATGCCTGGGAAATAAAGCCTCTGGGCCCATATTCCTATAGCAGCTCCCTATTTTAATCAGTTTTAGTTTGACTTCCTTATCCCCCTTTTTGTCATACTGCTATTTCTACAACTAGGTATACTGGGCAAAATGAATGCCGGGCAAAATGAATGCCAGGCAACAGCTCCATCACATGTCCCAAAAACTTGGCAACTTACAGCTGGCTGAAGGGCAGGCAGTGGAGTCTCAAACTGAGGCTGGATGAGCTGCAGAGGCTCGTGCTTCACATTGAGTTGTTCGTAAGCTCTGTCAAAAGAGAAAAATATGTGCACGGAGATCAGGCAAGGACAGTTACAAGTAGATATCCCCAGTTAACACATAAGCTATACATACTTCTTATCTATACATTCTAAGGAAGAGATGCCAAAAAAACAAAATGCCCATATTCCTTAAACAAGGATAATTAGAATAGACATCATACCAATTTCAAACAGGACTATTTAAAATTATTGATTTTAGAACTGACTTTGACTCACAATGTGATTAGAGCTAAATAGAGTATTTTATTTATATAAAGAACAAAACGACATTGTGGAAAGAACAAGGTATTAAGAGTAAGGAATGTGGATTCAAATCTTTAACTTCGTCATTTCTTAGCCCTGTAACCTTAGACAAGTCATTTAACCTCAGTTTACTCATCTGTAAAAGGACGGATTTCTTTAAGAAGAATTCTGCCTCTGACATTCCATAATTCTATAAGGAGTTTCTGGCTAAAAAAAAAAGGCCTTTCAGAGTCAAGTCTTGCTTTGGTGTTTTTCAGAAAAATTGTTTTTCACCACTTAACTGGCAGTACCTTCCTAACCAGAAGCAGCATTCTTGTTCAAAAGGTAGGGGAGGACTTATTCTATGAGAAATAAAACTTCACATGGCCTCTAAGACCGTAAGTTATAGATGAATGCTGCTATGCACTGGTAGAGAGTTTCCAAACTGAAAGTTCCTTACCCAAATAAAATCACAGACCTGGAAGGGCCATCATCTCCCCCTCTACAGACAAATTATCCATGGACTATTTTGCAATTTGCATTAAGGGCTATGTAAAATCAGCAAATTATCCAAATAATTATCTGGGATGAATTTTTAAATCAATAGACTTTCCTACCACCACTCAGCATGCTATCTGATCACATCTTTTGGTTAGCTGAGTTGTGTGTTCAGGAATGCAAACTAATTAAAACAGCCTAAGGCAACCATTATTAGGAAGGTAAAGCTGATGACAAACAAAAACTACACCCATCATCTACTCCAAAGGCAAATATACATCCCCCTCACTTTCAGCTTACATTATAGCATCACAACAGGGTGATATAATAGAAAGGGCTGGAGAAATGCCTTCTGGAAATTAAGCTCTGTCAATGACTAAACAACATTCAAGTCACTCTCCCCTGAGCCTCAACATCCTCATCTATCTGTAAAATGGGGGAAATAACATTTACACAACCTGTCTCAGTGGATTATTGTGAGAATCAAATGAAAAGGCACTACATATGCTCATTATGTTCCAGTCGCTATGCTAGGTGTTGGCTACACAAAAATGAAAATGAAACAGGACCTGACCTCAAGGAGCTTACATTCTTGTGGGGGGGACAAGATGGACACATACAAGTATATACAAAATAGGCATGTGCAAAATATATAGAAAATAAATACAAAATCATTCAGGCAGGAGAAGGCATTAGCCGATGATCTCATTTAACTTGCCTAAGCCTCAGCTTTCTCATCTGTAAAATAAGGGGCTGGACGACGTCCATTCCAACTCTAGACCTAGGATCTCAAGGTCTTATTTCACTTATCACCATTATCATCAACAACATTCTAAATAAAACTGAATCTTGAGCTAAAAAGGGTTTTCAGCTTTATGATTCTGCACAAAGTACCTTTTAAAACAGAAGTACTCTATGAATATTGACAAACATGGAAAGACCCCACAAGGAGGTCTGAAAGCAAGCATGGCTGCCCTTTTGTACATATAGTCAAAATTTTAAAAGGACAGCTGAAATGCCTGTTATTCACCCATAATGAGAACAATGCAGCAGAGATGGAGGTTCAGTGAAGCCATTAAATTGAAGCAAACAGTTATAACAGCACTGTAACCTTAAGTATTAAACCTGGATTGACAGGAGCTAAAGCAGTCTATTAGTCTAAGAAATGCCTAGAACTTCAAAATGACAGAAGATAGCAAAGGAACCCTCCCCTCCCCCATTCCCCTTCCTCCTCACAATTAGTTATATGACCTTGGGTAAGTCACTTCCATACCTTGGGCCTCCATTTCCTCATCTGTAAAATGAGACATTCTACATGACCTCTAAGGTTCTTTCTACCTTTGAAATACTATAAAGCCATTATTTTATGAATCTATAACTAAGAAGATGAATATACAGAGGTGATTAAAAACAATTCATACAATAACAGTGACTTGAAGTGAGACTGTAAAATTGGCACAATAGTGCTGAGTCAGAGATATCATCCTTATAAGAAGCCCCTTTTTAAAAAGCGGTCAAGGGGAAGCTAGGTGGTGTAGTGGATAGAGCTCTAGCCTTGGAGTCAGAAAGACCTGAGTTCAAAACTGACCTCAGACACATGACACTTATTAGCTGTGTGACCCTGGGCAAGTCACTTAACCCCGATTGCCTCACCAAAAAAAAGGCAAAAAAAAAAAAAAAGTGGTTGAATACCACTTTTTCCTGTTTTCTTCTTACTGGAGGAAGCAAGGTTGAGGTGGGAGCTAAGAAGGAACAAGGCCTCTTCTGAACCATTAGTTTCTAGCAATAGTTCATGTGAAAGGGAAGCTGACAGGAAAAAACACACACTTTGCTCTGGCCTTGCCTGACACCTTCACAGCCTCCTCCAACCTCTCTCTCTCCCCGCTGGGAGCTGCTGTTGACGTCCCCAGCCCTGAGAGCTGTTCTTCATTCCTTTGCCTCTTAGTATGGGGGGTTCAGGAGGACTAGCACCTCTGGTGGGAGGACTGCTGAGCCCTTTCCAAGGCTGTTCATCCACCTCTGGTGTCTACCTTCACCCAACTCTCACCTGTGACTCCAAGAAGCTGTAGCTTGAGCAGTGGCTCAGACCATCTCAGCAGAAGGGCTAGACCAGGTTGGGGGTAATCCACATGCCTCAAACCTATTGGTCAGTTAGGAGGGGTGTTTACCCCAAGCACGTAAAGACCTCCCCCAGCAGAATGAGCAGATGAGAACAATTTGTGCCAACAGCCATGAAGGAGGCTGAAGCAGGCACTGTGGAGCACTTAAGAGCTTGGTCAGACATCGAAGATGCCAAGGTCATCCGCTGCATCCTAGCTGATGGCCAGTCATTTTGACTCTTGCCCTGCCACTGAATTTCAATGACTCTAGAAGAGATAGTAAGGCTCACAACTCTGCATCACTTCAATCCAATTCACATATGACTCAACATAATCCTGCGATGTCACTGGCCCTCTTTGAAAACGAAGAACAAACAGCCACCACAACAAGCAAGGAGATGAGTTTTTATGAATGCTTAGTTACTTTTACACCATTACAGCCAATGACTTCATTTTTTTCTGGTCTTCTTTCAAACCCTCTTAGCAAAGCTCTTCTCACTAGTGATCCCCAGCTGTAAACAGGTCTACTGTTCTCAATTCATAGGTCTTACTATTCCCAACCCTAAGGGTCTCTTCTTGATTCTGATCCTTCTTGAATTTTCCATAACCTGGCATAATCCATAAACCTTTTCCTAAGCATCCTTTCTCAGCCTTACTCTAGAAGTAGTATCATCTATTTGCCTGCTACTTTAAAAGTTACTATAAAAATTTCCTTTGAAGGCTTTTTATAAACTATAACCATGTGATCATAAACAGCTCCAGCAGGACACCGAATCTAAATAACTATAAAACACAGTTCATCATTTATTAAAGCTGGAGGGAATCCTAACAATCAACCAGCCCAACCCCTTCACTTTACAAGTGAGGAAACTGAGGCACAGAGACAGAAAATAATTTGTCCGAGGCCACACAGCTAGTAAAAAGCAGATCCAAGACTCGAACCCAAGTCTTCAGAAATCCAGTGCTCTTCCCACTATACTATAATGTAAAAAGATAATGAGACATGGGTCAGGAGATAGACAGAAGCCATTCTTTGACTAGTGAAATTCAAAGTACACAAGGGAAAAAATAGAGACAGGGATTAGGACTGGACATGTGATTTCATGGAGCTCCTGGAGAAGGAAACTCCCTCTATCAATGCAAGCCAATACCTTGTCTACAGTAATAGTCTTACAGATTGGATAGAGCACAGAAGGGTCCTTGTCCAAGGACCACAGCCAATATACATAGAAGTCAGGACTTGAACCTAGGCTTTCCTAGCTCCCAGATCAGCTCTACTACCCCAGGCTAGCAAAAGATACATGCCTAGATAATTACATCTTTCATAAAAAGTGAAAGCAGCCACCAGAAACATTAACCCTAAGTTTCACTGTCAGACAATGAGAGAGTTGGACTATATAATCTCTAATGTCCCTTCCAATTCTAGTGACTCTACTTCCAGTTATTTTTGTGGGAATAAAGGAAGGGGAGTGAAGGAGCAAAACCAAAGCAAGACAAGAGAAATGCTTCCAAAAGCTTTTGCTACATAATGGTGTCTTAGTCAAAAGGTTCATTTTACTTTTGCCTATGCAAGGATTCTAACAACCTTGACTTCCATTACTAAATTTATGTTTGAAAGACAAACGCTAAAAAACCAAACAAACCCCAAAACCTTAAAATAAAATGAAAATACAGTTCGAAAAGAGAAGTTTTACGGGTGCTGACTTGATAACTTTAGATAAGGAAGTGGTATCCAGCTGGTAAATGGATAAGTCAAAGAGAGTTGTGAAGTCACGTGGGTTCTCATCACCTTCCTGAAGACACACTCGAAGTCGCTCTGACAACATAGCGGTGTCTGGCAACATGGTATAATCAGAAATCTGAAAAGCACAAGATTGATACCTTAAATGGTAAGAGAATAAGGGGGAAAACACTTGGTTCAGTCATGGTTCATTTTCATCTTGTAGTGTTAACATTAAATTAAATGCACTATGTAGAAAGTATAATTCAACCATACTCATGCTATCCAGTCCTGAAAGGAACTCACCTTTAATGACACAATTACACAGAACAACTGCATGTAATAGATAGAAGGAATGGAAAGTCTAGCAGTTTCATTCAGTTTGGAAGGTTAGGGCAGAAAAGCAAAGGGATTTTCTAAAATTCCTAAAAAATAATTCTTGAAATTTAAGTCTTGAAAAGTAAAACACCAATTAATCTGTGGTCCCTTTCCTTTCTTACTTTCTGATCTGCATCCCTTCCTCCCCATAACACTAGGTATCCTCTACCAGTAAGGAGAACAGCATCATGGCCCCTAAAAGGTTATTACATCTCTGTCCCGACTGCTACAGAGCTTGTCATTTCTTATTAACCCCGTTCCTGTGGGCTCCTAGTAAAATCCGGAGAAGTACAGAGAGGATCTGTGACACCGGATAGAACATCCCACTACTGCCCTCCTCACATGATGGCTTTCCTTTTCTCTTTACTACTTCACAAGAATTTGAACAGGAAAATGGGATGAAGAGGAACTGCTCTAAGACCAGAATAGCCAGCACAGAGGTGTCTTATTTAAACCTTTTCCTACCCATATTATATATTACTAGCAAAGATCCCTCTCCAGACATAACGCATAAAATTCTAACTGAAATCCATTCCTCTCCCTTCACATATGCCATAGACTTCTCATAAAAAGTGAAAATTGGCATTTCTCTCCCCCAAAAAATGTACATAGCAAACTTTTCTTCTGATAAATTGGATCTTTTCATTGGCGTTTATTTTTTATTTCCATCATGACCAATCTTTCTGTAATTTTTACCAATTAATTGTAATATTTAATTATAATTAGTATTTATTATTAACTAGTTAGTTAATATGTTCCATTAACAAGAAGATCTGGATTTTCTGACGAGGAATTTCTCTGCTTTTTATATGATACAAGACAAAGTACATCAGTTCTCAACGTCCCAAAATTAAAACTTCAGAAAGCCATGATTCAGAAGTTTTAGAAAGAGGTAGAGTGGAAAGCGAGGTAGTCTCAGAGCCAGGAAAACCTGAGTTCAAGTCATAGCTCTCACTTCTTGACTGTGGGAGCCTGGGCAAGTCACTTCACCTGGCAAGGCCTCAGCAGCTCTCTGAGACTAGAAGGTGCAGAAATGGTGCTAATCTGCATCAGGAGAGGGGGCTTCTTCATTGAGGAAAGGGTTCACCAGACCACAAAAATCTTAGCTCAATTTCCCCCAGCAAAGTCTGAAGAAACCTCAGATTTGATCCTGTGAAGTGAGGTTCCACAGTGTAGACAGACTGCCTCTCCTTCTGTGTTCAGCATTTGTAGAGTCAAACAGAAGAGCATTAAACAAAGAGTCAGGAGAGTCAGGCCCAGGCCCCCTCCTCTGCTACTAACTGCCTTTGGGACATCTGACAGATGAAGTCCCCTCTGGGAGTCTGTCTTAGATGAGAGAAGTCTGTCAGATGGGGAGGTTGGAAGAACTTCATGCACATCCTGAATTCTCTATTCTGATGATCTGCCTCCTCCAGCAGACAGATTCCAACCCAACCATGCCTTCCAATCCTATGCCTCTCCTGTACATGTCCTCCCGGACCTTCCTCCAGATACCCAGAAGCTTCATGAATAACAATGGAACACATGAGCTATGTGTCCATAGGTTATCCCCCTTCTTACAACTGACAAATATATCAAAAAAAGAAAAGAAGGGAAAAAATAGGGCCAGATGCAACAGAATTTCAGAAGAAAGCATTCTATTTGCTTATTTATGGATTTTCTTGGGTCTGCCTTGTTAAACACAAAGTGAACTTTCTGTTACCCCTTATTAAAATAATAACTTTTAAAATATCTTTTAAGGGGCAGCTAGGTGGCGCACACCAGCCCTGGAGTCAGGAGGACCTGAGTTCAAACCCAGCCTCAGACACATAACATTCACTAGCTGTATGACCCTGGGCAAGTCACTTAACCCCAACTGCCTCACCAAAAAAAAAAAAATTATATATATATCCATGTATCTTTTAACTGAGTAGGTTGAATCATCTCTAAAGGTCCTTCTAGCTCTTTCATTCTAAGACTCTAGACCTACTGCTTAGTATTAACAGCAATTATAAAGTTGAAATTTGGCTTCATATAAATACATGAACCAACTAGAAGGAACACGCCAGATATTTTGCTGTTGTTGGTACTTCACAATATAAAGTTGAACAGAGTTAATAAGAAATTTTCTGTTAATATTTGCCATATACAACAGAAATTCTGAAGTAGAATTCCTTTATTTCTCAAAGACTATTTCATGATAAACAGAGATTTTACAAGTTCAACCCAGATATTTTACAACAGTAACTTCATTTTGTTGTTAGTAGGCACTTAATGGTAGGTACCCTAACTAAAATAAGAAGTGTGACGACAGTGAAAATTATGCCGGAAAATAAGTATGAGGTTTGAGGGGAAAAAAAGAGGCCAAAGGCTTGCAGATAACTCAGGATCTACACCCTTGTATATAATGAACACTTTCTTACAAAAGTTAGAAGATAGCGGACATGAAGAGCACCAAGACATGATCACAAAAAATGAAACTGACTCTATCTTAACAGACAGAATCATTGATATGGATATTGTCTCAGAATCAGCTTATTTATCTATGTCCAGCCAGACCATCAATGAGGAGTAACAGACAGATGGCTTCAGGGATCCAACGAAACATACAATATAAATAGACCTAGAGGATGGCTAACACTGGATTTATTGTCTGGGAAGAGCTCTGAAAGAATACAGTTAAGCGTTACACAGGATGAGAATGCAAGGATAAGTTCTTATCTGTATCAAAAGAAGGAAAACTCACATCAGTGAGATGACAGATTCTTCATAATACTGAGGTTTTAACACTGCCTTAAAAATAGAGATTAAGGAGAGGACATTCCTTTCAGAACGTTAAAAATGGTGAAACGCTGTCTCTGTGAATTAAATTTTAAATGATTTCCTACCTCTGGGTCTTCTGCATCAATCTGGTTTAAATGGATGTCTGTTGTGGTGAGCCACTGGAAAACTACATCCTAGAAGCAAAACAAAGCACATTAGTAAGCCAGGTAAATAAGTGAGAAATAGTAAATTAAAAAAGAGTAAAAACAGATTAAAATTAGTTGTTCCATGAACCATTTCTCAATGTAATCCCATAAAATATTTAAAAACTACAATTCATGAAATTTTCTTCCAATTAATGTGAAGCTAAATTATCATTTTGTCTATAAATTCTCCTAAGACCTTTTTACCCCTGTAACTTTATACCAAATTTCACTGACATACATTAAAAATTAACAAAGATGTGCCCATTTTAAGATGACAGAATGAACCACAAAAATAAATTTTACAAAACCTCAATTCATTTATTGAAAAAGATTATAAATATTCATTTCATAAAAGACTATGAAATTCTTTTGCTTTCAAGCATCAGTACTGAAATTTAGAGTTTATGCCTAGTTTTTAAAACATTTCATAATATAAAGGAAGTATAATATGTGTGTAATATAGTTTAAAGCAGTGGTGCCAAAAACAAATACAAATGGATCATTGTTGCCACATGCTGAGTTAGAAAACCACAAATTAACATTATCTATGATGTGTTGTATTTTTACTTATTTTGTTATATATTTCCCAATTACATTTTAAATTTGTTCAGGCTGTACTCAGGAGTTTTGTAGGCTGTGAGTCTGCCACCTCTAGTTTAAAGTAATGATCCATGACATAGTTCAGCTTTAAAATATCATTAAACAAACATCACTAGTCTAACTAATATTACTAATCAGTCAAGCTCACTCAGTCACAACTTCTATAAGAATTTTTAAAATTTCAAATGTAAAATAAAATTCTAGACATGAAAAGGGTAAAAAAAAAATCTCACGGTTTTAGGGTTAAAAGTATATCTGCAAGAGTCAATTTGGTCTTTCACATTATAAGGGGATTTTGTTAATAGTATGCATTATCCTAAACTTTAGAAGCTAAATTCTATTCTCTCCTCCTTTACTCTACTGAAATATCAACAGTCCTTCTCACCAAGGCCAGCTCTTTAACAATATGTATCTGTTCTTCATCTCATCCCCTTTCATCTTCTCCAGCAGATTGCTGCTACAATCATTCTCTCTGTATCATTCCCTATTCATTGGTTCCTTTCCTGTTGCCTACAAATATTACCAAAAACCCCCAATCCTTAAAAGAGTCCCATTAGACCCTACTGTTCCCTCAAGCTATCATTCTAAACTTCTCCTCCCCCTTTCTCCACCAAATTTCTAGAAAAAGTTGTCTATACCTAATACCTTCACTTCCTTTTTTTCTTTCACTTCTAAATCCTTTGCAATCTACCTTCTAACCCTATCAACTCCACTGAAACTTCTCCCTCCAAAGTTGGCAATCTCTTGGATAGTCTTTTCTCAATCACCATTCTTGGCCTTTCTGCAGCCTCTGACACCACTGACCACCCTACCTGACTGGATGCTCTCTCCTCTCTGGGTTGTTATGACATCACTTGCTCTCATGGTTCTCCTACCAGTCTAACTACTCCTCAGTTTCCTTTGCTAGTTCATCATCCATATTACACCCCCGAACAGATGCTGGACTTCTGTCTGGGTCTTCTCTACACATATTCTCACACTTGGTAATCTCACTGATTCCCCTGGGTTTGAACGTCATCTTCATGCAGATGGAGAGGCCAGCGTGCTATAACTGATTAAGAGCCAGGCCATCAAATCCAACCATTTTAGAGACATGAAAACTGAGGCAAAAAGAGGTTGTGACTCACCCATGGTCAAAAAGCTAGTAAGTGTCTGTGGTGAGATTTAAGCCCAGGAGCTGTTGTCTTCAAGTCTAATGCCCTACCCACTACTTCATGCCACTAACATACATTGGCTGTGATCCTGGACAAGTTATATAACTTCTCAGTGATCTAAGCAACTCTCTTAATATAACTAGTATTTATATAGTGCTTATTATGTGCCAGGCACCATACCAAATAAACACTTTACAAATATAATCTCATTGGATCCTTGCAACAACCCTGGGAAGTAGGTGGTGCTGCTACCCCCCTTTTACAGTTGAGGAAACTGAGGCAAACAGAAGTAAACTGAACCACCCAAGGTCACACTGTGTTTGAAGTTGGATCTGAACTCAGATCTTTCTGACTCCAGGCCCAGCACTCTATTCACTATACCACCTAGCTGCCTAGACTATAAGTTTCAGAGAAAGTTCTGACTTGCATTGATAGAGGGATTTTCCTCACTCAGGAGTTCCCTATACTAATGAAATCAAAGACCCTGTCCCCATTCTAGGCAGTGAGATAGTACAGTGGAGCAAGTTCTGGGTCTACAGTCAGAAAGACTTGAGTTCAAATCTGGCCTCAGACACACCCTAATCGTATGATCCTGGGAAAGTCACTTTACCTCTGCCTCAGTTTCTCCAAATGGGGATAATAATAGCACCAGGGTTACTGTAAGGATCAAGTAGGATAATATTTGTAAAACACTTAGCAGTGCCTGACACAAAGCAAGCACTTAACAAATGACAATTCCCTCCCTCCTCTTTTTTTTTAAGGCAATTGGGGTTGAGTGACTTGCCCAGGGTCACACAGCTAGTAAGTGTCAAGTGTTTGGTCTGATGCCACATTTGAACTCAGGTCCTCCTGACTTCAGGGCCAGTGCTCTATCCACTGTACCACCTAGCTGCCCCCCTCCCTCCTATTTCTAATCCTGTGTAGATGACACCCCGTTCTACAACCTATCCTCTCCTGAGCTCTAGTCCCATATCACCAACTGTGTATTGGACGTTTCCAACTGCATATCCTCTAAGCATCTAGAACTCAACGTGCCTGAAACCCACCACCAGTCACTCAACTTTCCTATTTATGTCAAGGGCACCACTTTCTTTTTAGTCACAAAGATTCATAATCTCTGTCATCCCTGATTCCTCACTCACTCTCATCCCCATATATGCAATTGCCCATTCTTGTTTCTACCTCCACAACGTCTCTCAAATATGTGCCCTTCTCTGTACTCACATATCCACTATCCATGCTCAGATCTTCATCACTTCTTGGCTGGCCTGTTTCAAGAGTGTCTATTAATTGGCCTCCCTGCTTCAAATCTCTCCCCTCTCCAATTCATCCTCCATACAGCTGCCAAAATAAGTGCAGGTCTTCCCAAACCAATGCCCTACCCAATAAACTTAAGTGGCTTCTACTGTCTCTAGGATAAATATAAACTCCTTTGTTTGCCATCCAACATTCCAGCCTTATTACACCTTCCTCTCCATTATGCACTCTCATGGTCCAGCTAACAGGACTGTCTCATTGCTTCTTACACTTAGCATTCCATCTCCCATCTCCACACCTTTGCGCTGGCTGTCCCGCATGCCCAAAATACAGTTTCTTTTCATCTCTGCCACTTAGAATCCTTAGTTCCTGTCAAGACTCAGCTTAAATGCCCTCCTTCTACATGAGGCCTCTCTTGCTCTCCCCAACTGTTAGTACCTTCCCTCCTAGAATTAAATATCTTGTACTTATTTGTATATACTTAAATATGTAAGTGTTGTCTACCTTGATGGCATGTCAACTCCTGGAGGGCAGGGACTGTTTCCTTTTTTGTCTTTATATCCCCAGGACCCAGCACAGTACCTGGTACATAGTAGGCACTTAATAAATGCTTGACTGATTGAGGGGGAACCTGTATAAAACTTAAGAGTATTTATAAAGACAATCAAATTTTATATAAATTCCACGAACAAAAGATCTAATTCAGTTTCTTACCATAGCAATTAAGACTATTTCTTCAGTTTTCAATGTATCATTTAAAAGTAACCCAACCTGAGTCCTCTTTTCTTGAATCATTTTATTAATGATTTATCTGATCCCAAAGTCTACAGCCCTTGGTAATGCTATGGGTAGATTTGTTTCCATATTTTAGCTCACCAATTGAGGCTCTCACACTTTAATATTGTCTCTTTCATATATGGTGTCCTAATGAAATAGTTGGAATAGCAATGGCAAATGCATTTTCTCTAATATCTACTTGTTTTACAAATGACTGAATGCACCAATGGCACAAAAATGATACATACTCATTGTATAACAAAATAATCGTTACAAAAAATCTTACCATGATTTTGCTGTTTTCTTCTTTATCCAAATACTGATCACTAAACATGTGGCAAGAACCTAGCACTGCCAACTTTCCACTTTGGTTCTGTCAATGACAGGCAATACATTGAAATACACAGGTCAAAAGCACAACCTGACAAGCTTATTCTCATCACTATCTATCCATTTAGGGTAGAATCTAAGGTTGCTCAGAGTACATTTTATAAACTAAACAAATTACATATACTGAACAAATATCCTATCTGCTGCAAAACAGCCAAGGATATACAAAATATAATGCCATAATGTGCTATGATCCAAATCTCATTCTCATTTAAATTCTTGCATATTCTTCTATTTGACTTTTAAAGGTAATACTACTTGCATGGGACAATGACAATCAAGCTTTATTATGTGTTCCCCCTCCCCCATTTTTATTATCCTGTATAATGAGAGGATAATTATCTTCTCATGTTCTTAAAAGAAAGAAAAAGATAGATCCAAAAGTAAGCTATATATTGGAGTTAGGACCTATTAAATGTGTAATCAGGTCATGAAGACATTTATGAGTTTCAAAATCAGTTTTTAAAGCTATTACAGCTAAGAGGTACAGGAACAGCTTTGTTTGGTATCGAATAAACAGAATTATATTTGAAGCAGGTATTTTGTATATTTTAATGAGTTGAACATTTTAATGAGTCGGATGATGCAAAAGTGCAAACTCTACAAGTTTTAAAAAAAATCCTTTCAGGAAATTAATATTGGCTATCACATTAAAATTGATTCATTCATTGGATTAGGGCACTGGGGTGAGGAGGCAAAAGAATGAAATAAAAGGCATTGGAAATAATTCAAGACTATTTCAAATAGAGGTTTCATTGGTAGAGTTTCACAAAAGGACAAATAACTGAATACTGCTGTGATTAGAAACAAAACTATAGGTAACTCCCAGAAATAAAGTTCAAAAAATTGACTTTCCTTTCTACTAATGATATTTTATGTTATATTTTCCTTTCCCTAATATCACCATCTTTTCCCTACCTCATTTCTCTCAAATAGATTACAGATCTTCTTTCTAATCCTTTTTTCTGCCCTGACAGAGATTCTACCATTGTCTTCAGCTTCCTCTTCCAGCATTTTGTCTATAATTTCCTCCAGCTAAATGAAAAAGGATGTCTAGTTAAAGACCAATTCTCTCTCTGCCCTTCATATTAACAATTCTATTCTAGTAAAGCAAAAGGGCTGGAAAAGGGTAACAACAAACTCAGTGATGTAAGTGACATTAAACAAGGAGCCAATACACAAGTTCTAACCCCGGGGAACTGCCAATGATTTCTAATAGGATTCTGAGGTGATTCTCAGTAATCATTTTTTGATCTCATGATACCAACTTGACTCATTAATTTGAATATACGAAACCACTTCAGGGAAGGGAGTCATTGTTTGCACTAATAGGGAACTAGCTGTATACAGCAGAGTGCTCAAGGCTGGGTAATGTGTTCTGTACACTGGGTATTCATTCATTAAGTAATAACTATTCTAAAATGGGTATTCATTAATTAAGTGCTGACTATTCTAAAAAGAAACATTTCTGTTCACAGATGAGAAATCAAATCACTAGAATTTTTCCATAAAACTGATGTTAAAACATGTTTTTACCAAGAGCACTTAAAAATAGTGTAACTATCTTTTGTGGATGTAAACTCATATATGTAAAAGGAAATACACACATATCCAGCTTCCATTATTAAACATCATTTTGTTTTCATTTGAAAATGTTTCTAGCTATTGGGGAAGAACATTTGCAAAACTCCCTTTATTCATAATGCTTCACATGTATTGTTATTTTAACAGCAAAGACACATAAACTTGTTAAGTAAAGAGAGAGACAAGAATTGGTGTCTAGGACAAGAATTTGGACATTGTTTTTCCAGTTTCAGTTTTCCTGGGATAAGCTCAAACTGACACCAGCAGCATCATACCATATAATCTAGTGCATTCTGATATTTCATTAAATCTATTTGCATCTGAATGGGTGTAACTTTACAAAGTACTAAGCGGAAAGAGCTTGTAGTTGTTGACAAGGGTATTTACAAGTTACAAATTGGTTCAAACATCTTAAACAGCTCTTTCTGTACGTATCAAGTAATACATAAAAGACAAATTCAAGGAAATTTATACCTTAGAGTGGTAGAAAGCCAGAATGGGTCTGTTAAGAGGAAAGCAGACAGACCCAGTTGATAGAACAGCTACCGCTGGTTTCATTACACTCAGTGTGGCACCAAATGGATATACAAAGGTGAGAGCCCTACGGAAAAGTTCAGACATGTTAAAAATAAAAACGTTTGATAAGACTGACAAAGAATGATGCCAATCTATTGACCAGAAGAGAATCTTTTATACCAGGCCTTGGTTTTCCAAACTACAAATGGTAACAACTGAAGTAAACCTGCATTTATTAAGAGCTTATTATGTTTCAAGCACTGGGCGGAGCGTTAGGTATATAAAGAAAGTCAAAAAGAGACTCTACCCTCAAGGAACTCACTATACTGTGAATAATGCACTAGCATTATTCATATATTCAGATGCAAAATAAAATAAAAATGGAAATGGTAAACATTGCCATCATTTCTACTTACATTTCTCATTCATGTATTAAAAGACTTACCATTAAAGACTTTTTTTTTTGGTGGGGGAGGGGAGAGTGAAGTAAATAGAAAGAGAACCTGACCCTCATGAAGGTTTTAATGCCACTCTTTGATAGCACTGAGGCATTTAAACATGTTTTAAAGATCTAGAAAGATTTTCAACAGTTAAGGAGATTGTGGGCATATTACAAAAACAAATATAACATAGCAAACATGTATTAAGCAAGTGTTCTGTGCACAGCAAGATTAGAGCTGTCAGAGTTACAAAGATTAAATGAGACATGGTCCCCACCCATCACTAAAGAATTTACAGTCTAATAGAGACACAAGACACCAACAGAGAACAATAACACATATACAGTGATATAACTGCATCATCAGACCAGAACTGATCTGGGGTCAAAAGCTAGACAAGCATCTTAAAGGGTTTAAGCTCATTTGCTTCGATCAACCTAGTACCACTTAAACTTTAAGATTATATAAGGGGAAAGATGGTATGCCTTTTGAGATAAACTTACATTTATGTAGCAGTTTTTGCTTTTTTTTAATTGTCACATATGTTATCCTCCTAACAGCTCTCTGGGGAAGGTAAGAACATTTTATCCCCATTTTATAAAGAAGAAAAATTAGTGAAAGAGACAGAATTAGAATCCATTTCTCCTACCTCAAAATCCAATGGTATACTTGCCTTTTTAAATTATCTTAAATCTTATTAAGACTACTTTAACCTGAATACATTTCATTTCACTTCACAAAGCGTTCAACTTCAGCTACTTCCCTAATTATCTCAGGAGTTGTGGTTGTTTGTCCTTCCTTTTTGAAGAGGACCAATGAAATCATGGGTGATGTCTTGCATGAATTGGATTTAAGTGAGGCAGAGTTGCACAAAGTCGTCAACCTCACTCTCTCTTCCTGAGTCATCAAAGTCCAGTGGCAGGACAAAGTCAAGAGACTGGCAATGGTCTGGGACGCAGTAGGTGACCTTGTCACATTCCATGTCTGATCAAGCTCCAAGCGATCCACAGCACCTGCTTCAGCTGCCTTCATAGACAATGGAACAAACCGTTCCCATCTGCCCATTCCACTGGGGGAAGCCTTCACATGCTTGGGATAGACACCTCCCTAACTCACCAATGGGCTTGAGGCCTGTCTGTCAAGATGGTTCTACTAGGGTTTGGCCCCTGCACATGTTACAGCTTCTTGGAATCCCAAGTGAGTTAGGTGAAAGGTGGACACCACCAAAGGTGGATGAGCAGCCATGAAAAGGGTTTGGCAAACCTTTCACCAAAGGTGCTAGTTCTCCCTGAACACCCTATACACTCCATCTCAGCAATACTATCTAAAGCTATAAGGTTTCCCCCTTAGTTAACTATTAACTCAGCAATAAGAGCGCATAAAGAAGCTAAAAAAAAACTATATGATATCCTGGAATTCCTAGTGTTAACACTTCAAAGAACAGAAAAGAAAACTTGAGACTAAGAATATATACTTACTGGGCATTGTTTCCATTGCTTTCCTCATCAATTATTCCAGGCACAGCTTTTCCTGCAGCTCGGCTTATTTCCCTTCAAGAAGCAAATACAAACTTGGTTAAAAAAAAAACCCTTGAATTTTAATACAAATTTTGTCCAGTAAATATTGAAGAATATAAGGTCTTAAGAAGCATGCAAGAAATTTTTTATAAAGACCCTAAAATAATCTAAGGCAGAAAGACAAACACTTTAGACTATTTTAAGGTCTTCCCTCCCACCCCCAAAGTTCCTGCCCAAAAGCCACTTCTGATTTAGTTGGACAGAAAGACATACATATATGAAAATTTAATAATAGTGCAGGGCAGTCTGTGATTAAGTACCTGAATGAATGAATGGTATACACCAGGGGTGCGGAACCTTCGGCCTTGAGGCCACATGCGGCCCTGTACATCCTCAAGTATGGCCCTTTGACTGAATCCAAACTTCACAGAACAAATCCTTTTATTAAGGGGCCACATGTGACCTCAAAGCTGCAGGTTTCCCAACTCTGATAGATAATTAGTGTTAAAGGACTTCAGAGATGAATTGGAGGCTGAGTGTTTTTTTGTAGAAGTGGGATTTGAGCTGGAGCCTGAAAAATGGATGGATAAGATCTAGAGAGGTAGAAATGTATGACAGAGAAGAAAGTTGTGTTATAACAGTTCTTGCCACAGCAGAAAGGTATTTGGTTTGTGTCAATCCTCATTTTTGATCCATTCATCCTTGCTAGTTATCTTCCTATATTTCTCCTCCCTTTTGTGGCTAAACTCAATCTGTGCCTCCACTCTCTTTCCTCCCACTCCCTTCCTGGCTCTTTGCACTTCAGCTTCTGACCTCATCATTCAATTGAAAACTGTCATCTCCAAAGTTACCAATGATCTCTTAGCCGCCAAATGCAATGGCCTTTTCTCAAGTCTCATCGTCTTGACTTCTCTGCAACCTTTGACACTGTCCGTCACCCTCTTCTCTTTGATGCCCTCTTGTCTAGGTTTTCCTAACACTGTTGTCCCTCTGGGTTCTCTCCTAACTGTCTGAACACTCCTTCTAAATGTCTTTTGCTGGACCTTCATCTAGGTCACACCCTCCAACTGTATGTGTCACCCAGGATAATGTTGTAGGCCTTTTATTTCTCCCTCTACTCTATTTCACTTGGTGATCTCTGTATTTCTTATTTCTGTGCAGATAATTTATCAGATCTATTTCTCTAGCCCTAAGCTCTCTCCCAACCTCTGAAGTTTTGCACGTTCAGTTGCCTATAGGATATCCTGAACTGGACGTCCTTAAATTCAAACAGTTCAAAATACTACTCCTTATCTTTACTCTGCCCGTCTCCTTCCCCCAAAAGCTTCCATCTTGCTTTTAAATCCTTTCACAACCTGGCTCCATCTTCCTATCCCATCCTCTTACCCTTTACTCTCCTTCATGTATTCTACAATCCAGTGACCCCAGTCTCCTTACTACTCCTTGTACAAGACATTCTATCTCCCAACTACATGCCTAGACAGCCACAGGCTGTCCCCCAAACCTGGAATGCTCTCCTTCTTTATCTCTACTTCCTGACTTGCCCAACTTTTCTCAAGTCTCAGCTAAAATCCCATTTTCTTCAAGAAGCCTAACCCTAATGCTAATGTCTTTCCTCTGAGACTACTTCCAAATTATTCTGTATATGTCTTATTTGTACATAGATGTTTGCATGTTATCTTACCCATTAAATTATGAATTCCTTGAGGACAGGAAGTATTTTTATCTTTCTCTGCATCCCCAACACTTAGCACAGCAACTGGTTTACTAATATATGCTTCTTGACATATCAATAAATATTATTTATTTAGTTCCTGAAAACATGTGCCTATTACATATGTGTGTGTGTGTATATATATACACACACACATATATAAATATATAGACATATATCAAGAATATGCTTAAGCTCCAGAGATATTCATCAAAGTACCATGGAGTCTCTTATTTTCATTTGTCTTCCTATATCTTCCTACTTATATCCAAAGATCTTTACAACTTTACTAAACCCCTTTTATGTACATTTATATCACTCCCACCTCTGGGTCATGATATCTACTAGAAATGCCATCATTGTGAAATCCTTTTCTTTCAAAAAGCTCAAGTCATGCAGTATCCATGAAACCTTCTTCAAATAATAATATTATTCCCCAACTTTCAAGCTTCAATCATCATCTCCACTAAATACACTAGATCCAAAACTAAGGGTTATACTTAATGTAAGTATTAATTTGATCATACCACTTCCCTGCTCAAAATACAACCAATAGCCCTCCACTACCTACATGATGAATCCCAAACTCCATAACCTAGTATTAAAAGCCCTCCATAATCTGGCCTCACATTCTACTCAGTCAATATTATCTCTAGCTACTCTCAAATATGAGACACCAAAATGACCATCTGACTGATTACAAACATTCCATGATCAGTCTTACCTTTCCTTATGTTGTTCCTTTTTTCCTGAAATGCCTTTCCACTCCTTTTAACCTACACAAAAACCTAACAAAGATATTCCTTCTCTACCTTCTGTCACAGCAAAACTAAGGCTGAAATTAGGAAGGATAAGAACTTTATATAATAAGCTAATATAGTATTATGTTAAGTTTAGCATAACTGGGGTGCTGCTTTGTACTACTTGTTTTAGATCAAATTATAAATAATAATATGTATAGTTAATAAATAAGGTGTTTGTAATCATTTGTGTAAAAAGTCAGGCCCGTGGTTTGGGCCATAACCCCATCACATAATATTGTTTCCATGAAAAACTCCTATTTGCTTATGTTGTTTGGGCTTAAAGCACATTTTCCAGGAATATAACCTACCATCAATACAAGGACTGGGTATACTTTCTCAGCTGATTACCTTAGACTATAAAATACCAGCAGGGAGGTATCATGCCTGTCTTGATTTATACAGTACTACATGTAATCAGACAATTAGATTCTTGTGATAATGAGGACAACGCTATGGATGTTAATATACACACTCCTTAGGAGACAAGAAAGTTGTAAATAATAAATGTACCAGAGGATGAAGCTCTCTTTTCATGGAACATAGCAGAAAGGTGAATTCTGACTTATGTCTCAAGAATGTAGGTTCCATAATTTACAAGATGGAAGGAGATAAATTTTCCCCAAAACACGGACTAAAAGTGGGAGGTAGGCAGTGAGAAAGTAGGATTGGCAGGAGCAGTAAAGTGGCAGAGCATGAGGAGAATGACTAATGATATTAAAGCTTCTGATATGTTTACCTGTTCAAGACCCCATTGGATACTAAAGCTTCTTTAGGATGGAAATATTTGTAATATACATTTCTCACCACAGCATCTTCAGGAAAAGAAAAAAATTATTTTATAGACTAGACTACAAATAAATGGTAAATTGTATGGATTAAAAATAGCAGCTGAAAATATTACTTCCATGGCCACAAGTTTATAAAAAATTTGGTTACCATTGTTAACCATGATCCCATATTCTTCTAGTAGAAAGTTAATATTGGTGTCAAATCTGGATTCACCACCTTCTCCTAGCATAACAAGGATATCTCCACCACTTTCAAGATATTTCTTTAGCACTTCAAACTATAAAAAGAAAAAAAAAATACAAATATCTCTGAGGAATTACTCTCAAGTACTACAGGTAAAAACACTCAGTTATAGCTAGATTTTTAAGTCTTAACTTTAAAAAGTAATCAAATATGAATATAAGTAAGGCTTTTATTAGATCACTACACAAGGCTGCTAAGCCTGTCTTTAAATGCAAAGCTCCAAAATATTGATGATTCAATTATTACATTTCACAAAGGTTAATTTTCAGATAAGAAATCCTTTAATAACAGAAGAAACCATCATCATAAGAATGTAAAATTTAGAAAAGCAAACATATGGCAAAATGCATAAATGTGTTCATTTTTTAATAATAAAAACATAGTAACAAAGTTAGCAGCCACCTGAGGTCTCCTCTTCCTTCAGCCACTTGATAAAATTTTAACTCTCATATCTTGATCAGCCGTTTGACTAAGCAGATAAACTATTAAGAGTGAAGAGAAAGGGAAAAGAAGAGAAATGCATCCATATAGAATCAGAACCACTCAGACTCCTCTCTTCACAACATAAAAGTAACAGCAGGGGGACCTAAGCAACACTCTATTAGTCAAGTTGTATTTTAGGGCAAGAAAGTATTTTCCAAACTCTTTATTTCCCAGTTTCTATAAGCTGGGTTTTTCATTCTCCATGAAATACAACAACAACAACAACAACAACAAAACCTTAATTTCAAAGAGAATTTCCAAAGCAAAATGAGAAGCTTTAACAGGAAAAAAGTAAAGATAATAACATTACTCTATAACACTTTAAGGCTTACAAAGTGCTTTCTCCATAACAATTTTGTAAGGTAGACAGTACGAGTGTTATTATTGTCTTTTTATACATGAGGTACAGAGCCTTGCCTAATGAATCAATCAACTAGGGCTTATTACTGCCTATTCTCTGTCAAGCACTGTGCTGGAGATACAAATACAAAATTGAGTCAGTCCCTGCCCACAAGAAGTTTACGTTCTCCCCAGAAGGATACAATAGATTCAAAGATAAATGGAGCTAATGGAAAAAGATTTTTACTTCTTTAACTAGGAAGGTTTTTTTGTTTTTTTGGTAAGGCAATTGGGGTTAAGTGACTTGCCCACAGTCGCACAGCTAGTGAGTGTTATGAGTCTGAGGTCGCATTTGAACTCAGGTTCTCCTGAGTTCAATTTCAAACATTTCAAACATAACCTACCCTATGCTACACTAATTCTTCCGCACTATTTTCACTGCTACATCACTATCAAAAAAAAAAAAGAAAAAAGAAAAAAAAGGAAAGAAAAAACAACTATTCTAAATCCTACTTCATATATTAAATGTGATATCTAAAGAATATCAGCATGAAAAGTGCCAGAACTCTATTATGGCCCTATATTAAGATAGAGATGTTATATATTAGGAAAAAGAGCTAGCTACCTTATTCAGAATACTCTTAATTTGAAGAGTGCCCCTTCTAGTTTAACCAACTTATTTCTATAGGAGGTAACTAAATGAATTAACAAAAGAATTACAAACACAGAAGCTAAGATGAAACTAATAAATCCAGTAGCAGTTTGTGATATACAAGATTTAGCTTTACCCTATTTACAAGGTAGTTCTTACCTCAGCAGCTGTAAATTTTTCCCTTGGTCCTGCTGTAATCCACAATTTTACCCCAATCAACTTCTCTGATGTGATTTCATCTTTTAAACTAAAAGGGAAAATGAAGCAAATATGATTATGTAGCCCAGAATCATTTTTTAATTATTCTATCTTGCAGATTGCATGGAGAGCACAAGTTATGGAACTACAGCATGGGAAGAACCACAGAGCAATTTAGGATAACCTTCCACCAGCTGTGAACTGATCCAATCATTCTGCAGTGCATTTTGGAACTATGGCCAAAGGGCTACAAAACTGCATACCATTTGACCCAGCAATACCACTGATACATCTATATCACAAAAAGATTTTAAAAAAAAGGAAAAGGTCTTATATGTACAAAAATATTTATAGCAGCTCTTTTTGTAGTAGCAAAGAATTGGAAATTGAGAGGATGTCCATCAATTGGGGAATGGCTGAACAAGTTGGTGTGTATGATTGTGATGGAATCCTCGCTATAAGACGAGTAGGATGCTTTCAGAAAAATTTGAGAAGACTTACATGTACCGATATAAAGAGAAATGAGCAGAAGCAGGAGGACATTGTACACAGTAATAGCTATTGTACAATGATCAACTGTGCATGACTTAGCTATTCTCAGCAAAAAAAAAGATTCAAGACAATTCTGAAGGACCTATGATGAAAAATGCTATCTGCCTCCAGAGAAAGAACTGACGGAATATGAATGCAGATAGAAACATACTAGGGTTTTTTTTTTCAACTTTCTTTATGTTTTTTGGAGGGTTTTTTTGGTCTATGTTTCTTTCACAACATGACTAATATGGATACATGTTTTGCATGAGTGCACATATATCAATTTGCTTGCCTTCTCAACGAGGGGAGTGAGTAGAAGAGAATTTGGAACTTAAAACTGTAAAAAGCAAAGGTTAAAAATCATTTTTATAAGTAATTGGAAACAAATAAAATTTTTGAATTAAAAAAATTTTTTTAAAAGATGAATGCAAGAACTACTTCAATATCATCCCCAATTGGTGATATCTGGACCATGCTCAAATATTTCCAGTAAGAAAGAAAATTACCTTTACAGCCAAAATATTGAATAATTATGGCCTTTAACTAGAAATATGATTATATCATTATTAAACAATTCTAGATTCATTTCACAGGAAAACGAATACACTTATTTTTCTTTCCATTATATTGATCCTATTCAAACATGTATGAGTTCTAAAATTATTTGAGTAGCTTAAGTTTTTGAAAAAGGTGGAGCTGTTTCAAGAAACCAGGGAGTGATATTAGCACAACTTCTTGCTTTGTAATTTTTGAGATATCCTACTGAATTCAATAAAGAATTTGTTTATAATTTGCAAGAGAAGTAATGGTAATTATTTACTGGTTCATTATCATTATAGTCAACTCCTTCTTAAATAATCTAATAAATGGTCCACTTTCACACAAAAGACACACGAGAAAGAGTAGTTACTAGTTGGCCACTATGGCTATGGTTATTCAGAAAATAGTCTCCCATTTTACTGGTATATTAGAGCTGCTACAGTTGCTGAGAATAGAAAATAGTAGTAACTACTCACCTCTGAATCTTCCAGTTACTACGAAGTCTTTTCTGCAAGGACTTATAGCCACTGTTGGTAGTAAATATCTCCTTTTTTGATGCATTAAAGAGAATGGTGCTTCGAAGCTCTTTCTCCATAGTTGCCTCAAGTAAAAAGGTAATAGTTAGAAAGTAAAAGGCAATGTACTCAGAGGCTATAATAATCCAAAAGAAAATAAACTAGAATACCAAAGTGATACCTGTTTCTAAATAAGTCTAAATATATTTACAAGATTATAAGGTTATATATAGCAAAACTAGGACTTTAAAAACACATTTGGAACATACATAGTACCCCAAATACTAAAATATAGAATAAAGAAAATAGACTATGGTGGAATAAACATTTGTAATTCTTCCTTATCACACTTAAAAAAGCCTTTATTTGAATAACCACCTTATAACAACATTCCAATTACAATATTATTAAAGTCTCCAAGGTTAAACTGTAAAAAAAAAAAAAATTAGTCTAAATAGAAACCCAATGTTCAATTCAGCACATTGAGAAAAAGGGGCTTCTGATAAGGAAACTCTCTACCCTACCCAACTCTTCCATACTATTCTCTCAAGCCATTAGTCTATTTCTATGACCCTTGGATTGTATTTCTAATATCTTTTTCCTCTGCCTAGTGCCTTTTTGATCTATCATTCCTCAAAGGGGACCTCTACTCCTGGACCTTCCTTCATCAATTTTGCCCATAAACCACTGCATCTTTTTTGTGGTTTCCTTCCACCAAGCCTCCTCACCAAAGGCAACAACCAGACTATTTTGTGAAGTACCAATGAGATTAAGCCTTAGACACTAAACCTTATCCTACCACTCACCATTTCCAATTTAAAACTGTTCCTGAATTGAGTTCCCCTAAACCAAAAACAATCTAGTTTGCTGCTCTGTTACCAACCAGCAAAATGATTTTTTGGGCCTTGAGGCTCTATGTTACAGTCAGGCAATCACCCTCGCTGGTTTTATCACAAGCCAACAAAAGGTACCTATAAATGGCATTCTCAGCCTAAGAGAAGCTATGTCAAAGTTTTAGGATACTGGATTTAGAGCTAGAAGGGACCTTAGAGATCATCTGGTCCAAGCTCTCCTTTACAGATAAGGAAGGTGAGTTCCAGAGAAGTTGTCATTTTCCCAAGACCACTCAAAAAATAAGTAGCAGAGCTGTGATTAAACCCAGTTCCTTTGCCTATAGATCCAGTGCTCTTTCCACTAATACACAACATAAGGACTGCTAAATGTAAACTCCCCGCCCCCCAAAAAAATTCGAACAATATCTATCAATTTTCAAAGGAATCTATAAATAATAAGCTCAAGAACAATTACTATCAGTAATAATGGAGATAAAAAATAATTTTGAATTTGAATTGTTCTATAGTACATTTTAAAACTTCTGCAAACAGAGATTTATATGCAGAGAAAATGATTAAAGGACCTCTTCTAAGAATAAGAACTATATGCAACTCAAATGTCATTAAAATATGCAGACACGGATCCTCATATCAGGACTCTTCCCTCCATATCCTACTATCCAGTGACACTTGTTTCTGTGATGTTTAACTCACCCAAGACATTCCATCGCCTGACTCTGGCCATTTTCTCTGGGTGTTCCCTATCCTTGGAATGTTCTTTCTCCTTATCTCCACTTCCTGGACTCTTTCAAGTCTCTGCCAAAGTCTCACCTTTGGTAAGAAGTCTTTCCCAGTTCCCCCCACAGTGCCTTCCCTCTGTGATTATGTCCAATTTAAACTCTAAAAATCTACCTAGTTGTTTGTATATTGTCTTTCCCCCTCAGATTATGAGTTCCTTGAGATCAGGGATTGATTTTTGCCTTTCTCTATGTGTCCAACTCTTAACATAGGGCCTGCACATAACAGGCACTTAATAAATGCTGGCTGACTGGACTGACTTCAAAACCAAGATTCAGACTTTTGTCGAGCAACAAAAAACACAGTGAAACATCCTGACAATATAGAGACAGAATAGAAAGCCCAAAGTGAGTATTCTCACATCAAAGGATTCCTGGGAGGATCAGGAAATCAACCCCATATTTGTTCTTGGTTTGAGTACAAGCATTGGAGACTATTGATGAATTAGGAAAAGAAAGATCATAAGAATAAGTATTCTTGAGGACTTCTTACACTATGTCTCATCTCAGCCAGATTTAAAAAATGAAAGACCCACAGTGGATAAGTTATTTGTCCATGGTCACATACCTAGGCAATGCTAGAACTATAACTAGAATCCAGTTTCTGACTCTCAACCCACTATTCTTTCCACCAAACTACACTTACCTCTTAGATCAAAATATTAAATTCATCCTTCCAGTATCTGTTTTACTTGGGTAAATGGGCATCCTAAAAGGCAAGACATTAATGGTTCTCCACTAAAGTCCTACTCTGAAGCCTCATCATGGCATAAAGAGGACACTAGGGTCACAAAGGTAACTCTGCTAGAGTACAAGCTCTGGCAGGTCTTACACCAAACTAAAAAGGCTTTAAGTATAAGCCCAGTGAGTGACAGGCTATGTCTGTTGTCTGAGGACCAACCTAGATAAGCCTGAAGAGGTTCATCATTAGATGGGCCATCGGCAATGAATTTTTCAGTTGAAGAAACTCTTTAAGTATTGAAGACACCAAGACAAAACGTAGTCCTCAAATAACTTAATATCTTACTGACATGAACATAAACAGCATCACAGAATTTAAAACTGGAAAGCACTTCACAAAACATTTAGTCCAACTCCCTCATCTTATAGCAAAGGAAACAGATCCAGTGAGGAAAAATGACTTGCTCTTCACCACATATAGTAAGTAGCAGAGTAAGGATTGGAACCTAGGTCCTTGATATCAAAACAATCAATCAAGAAACATTTCTAAGCACCCACTTTTGTCAAGCACTGTGTTTGGCATCAAGGATACAAAGGCAAAAGCAAAACAATCCCTGCCCTCAAGGACAGAACATGTACAGGTATCACACAAGACACAAAACAAATGTAATCTTGTGGGGAACAAGTAGTGAGGAGGGATCTGAAAGGTCTCTAGCTGAAGGTAGCACTGGAGCTGAACCTTGAAGAAAACCAGGCATTCCAAGAGGCACAAAGGAGAAGGAAAAGGAAAGGAGAAGGAAAAGCATTCTACACATGGAGAACAGCCAGTCCAAAGGCAAGAAACAACCAGAAGGCCAGTATAGCTGGAACCTGATGTGGAGGGTGTAATGTATTACAAGGCTGGAAGAGTAGAATGGGGCCAGATTATGAAGTTTTAAGTGAAACAGAGAAGTTTATATCTGATTCTGGAGGTGACAGTGAATCACTGGAGTTTATGTATACTTTAAGAAAATTGATTTAGTGGTCCTGTGGAGAACAGATTCAAGTAAGGAGAGATTTGAGGGAGAGAGATCAATTAGAAGGCTACTACAATAGTCCAGAGTGAGAAATTATGACACTCTGAAGCGATGGTGATGTGAGTGGAGAGGCAAATATACTGGAGATGCGTAGAGAAAGAAACAAGAGTTAGCAGTTGAGTGGATATGTGACGAGTGAGGAGTTGAGGATACAAAACACGACACAAAACTGGATAGAAAATAGGATGGGGAGCTACAACACAAACAGGAAAGTTAGGAAGAAAGGTGGGTTTGGAGGGAAAGATAAAGAGGTCTGTTTTGGTCTTACTGAGTTCAAGATGGTTCTGGGACATCTGATTCAAAATATCCAACAGATAAGTAATTGATGATACAGAATTGGAGCTTGGGAGAGAGACTGGGGATAGATATGTAGATCTGGGAGTCATCTGCACAAAGATGGTAACTGAACCTATGGGGGAGTACGAAGAGAAAAAAGAAGAGAGACCAGGACAAAGCCTTAGTGCACAGCCACAGTTAGAGCACAGTGACATGGATGAAGATCTAGCAAAGGAGACTGAAAAGGGGAAGTCAGACAGGGAGGAAAATCAAGAAAGAACAAATCCAAATCTAGCATTCTTCTGAAATCAGGTCTTGTAACTCCAAAACAAATGCTCTGAACCACAGCCTCTGTAATACCATCTCTCCTAATTAAGTGCATAAGAGCTGTCCAAAAGAGAAGCATTCAACCCTATAAGGAGAGATCACTTACAGGTGGAGGATCTGGAAAAACTTTATATGAGGCAGTATGTGAGGTAATTAGGGGGACTGAATAAAGATAAGGATGTGAACTAGGAAGTTGAGAGGGGGAGGATAATCTTTTCAGATGGGTGGAAAGCACAGATAAAAGCACAGCAGGACTGTGTAATTATAATGCCCAGGAGGTCTGACCCTGAAAAAGAACCGATAAAATGCCTTCAGTCCTTTCTTTGCAGGGAGAGTGAACTATGGGTAAGGTGTACTGCATACATAGAATCAAGGCATTGGCTATTTTTGTTGAAGTGCCTTTTCTTTTTTTTAAAGTTTCTTGAAAGTATTTTGTTAAGTGGATAGAGCACCAGCCCTTAAGTCAGGAGGACCTGAGTTCAAATCTAGCCTCAGACCAAACACTTGCCACTTACTAGCTGTGTGATCCTGGGCAAGTCACTTAACCCCAACAGCCTTAAAAAAAAAAATACAAAAAAAGTATTTTGTTACCAGAGCAGGCTCACCTGGGTAGAGGAGAGGAGTGAAGAGAGGTATATTTGGAAAGTGATGTAAAAAAAATGATATCAATTATTATTATTTTAATCAGAGGGAAGAAGCACGCATGCATGATGGCCAGAGTAGCTGTAGCTCTGTTTGGGGCCCCCGGTGAGATGAGTGTGAGATAAAGCTGGTCATTTCCGAGGCACAAAAATAAAAATCTAGAAGTCCCAAATCAGCGCAGCACCACTGAAAGAGCTCTGTATTTGAACTCAGAACACTCAGGTTCAAATCCCAGCAAGCCTCCTTCTCCTCCCTGACCCTCAGTCTCCTCATCTACAAAATAAGGGCATCTCGAAGGTTCTTCCCAGCCCTGACTCCTAACACAACATATTAATCCTGGTTCCGCGTGGCTCCAGGCCTAGGGTGCCCGCGGGAAATGGGCAGGCCGTGGGAGACCTCGCCGGCCCACGTCGAGGAGGAGGGGGGCCTTCATCCGGCAGCCCACAGCAGGACCGGGCCGGAAACCCTCTTACCTGAGGCCCACTAACCACCATGGCCCCGCAGCGCCTACCAGCATCACTTGGGGCAGGGTCTCCAGGTGCCGCCGCCGCTGCCTCCGCACCGCCTAGCAACGGGCGGGCGACACCGCGCGCAGGCGCAGCGACGGGCCGCTACTACTAAGATGGCGGACCTTTTATAGGGCCTTGGGGAAGACTGCAGCGTGATGACGCAATGCGCTCTCGCTTTGCATCTCAGCTCTGGGTTTGCAGAGAGATGCGAGGGAAAGGAAGAGGCTGATCTTTGAGCCCCAGCGGCGGCGAGTTTGACTTGAAACCAAACTCAATGGACTGACCCATTTTCGTTAATGAAACTAAGACAAAGGTGAACTTCTTTTTATTCTTTCGTGGACGCCAGTACTAAATAGTTTATTTTTGTTGTTAATAATGATGACTAAAAACGTGGAAAGATAACAAGTTTCAACGATTAACGTTCCTCAGTTCCCACGAGGAGAATAATGGTTTCTTCCAGCAGCTGTTCTTACCAGCCTATTGGCTGCTCTTCCTCGCTCCCTCCCCGTCCGGAACCACCAGTTTAGGTAGTAGGTGGTTAGTTTAGATAGTGCTGGCTGTGAGCTGGTCGGTCTAAACCCGAGAACTGCGCTGTTAGCGTTTTAGGCGCTACACCAATTCAATGAGCATTTGTTTAGTGCAAAGAGGATGAAGAGCACTGTTAGATTCTAGGAATAATACAAAGTTTAGATGACACAATCCCTACTCCGTGGAGTTTATATAGAGACAGTAGACGGGATAAGACTAAGATGTTTTCCTTTTTCTTTAAGTCTAGAACTCTAATTTCATGGGTATGAAATACTGGCAGTATGGGAACTCTCTACGGACGCAGATCTTCAGTTCATCTGTAACTTACAGTCAGAGATCTGCTTGGGGCGTTGGGAAGTTAAATAACTTGCTAACTTTTGCCAGGCTTGTAGGCTTCAGAGAAAAAGCATTTGAACTTCCAACTTCCTGACTCCAAGGCCAGCCCTCGTGCAGTGCACTGCACTGGGTGCCTCTCCTGGGGTTACCAAAATCAAAACAAAAACGGGACAGCAACAGAAAATAAGTTGTGGTGATAAAATACCAGCCAAACCAGTCCAGCACCAGGTAGGTGACACTAGAAAAAGCAACCAAAATGCAGAAGAATTTGTGACAAGTGCATCAGAGGTGAAAAACAAAAGTGCTGTAAAGGGAGCCAAGAGAGTAAGGACGTTTCCAAGTGGAGGAGGAAGAAAGGGAGGGATCAGAGAAGGCTGCATGGAGGACGAAGCATCGAGTTGGGTTTTAAAGGAGTTGTAAAATATCAGCAAGCAAAGAGAAGAAAGAACATTGAAGGCATAGGGGCTAAACAAATTTGTGCTTGCCTTTCTACATGGTCTTTTTGAATTGCTGTGGTGGAGGAAAAGATCATTTGGATACCAACAATACTGATTCCTTCCAAACTTAATCCATTTCCCAGGCCATACTGAAAGCCTTTCCAATTTGGTAGGGACTGCCAGAGTTAGGCTGTGTTGGCTTTTTCTTCTAAAACCCATGGTTACTTCCATACCAGGATGAGTCATCAGAGGAAGACTTTGGTAAAGGAATGTCTTCTTGAGGCTACATTGGTAGAGGTCTAGGATCCAACAAAAGGGGGGCAATAGCCTGGGATTGGGGAAAGGGCAACAAATTTGGATGCAAAAAATCAGGGTTCAAATCCCAGTTTTGTTCCTTAAACGACTACCATGGCCTTAGGAATGTCATTCAGCTTTTCTGATCTCAAGTATCTTTGTCAGAAAATAGAAGAGTTGGATTAAATGATCTGAAAGATACCTGGCCAACTATCAGTCATATGATCCCTTGATTCTCTGCCCTGGTCAGCACCCTTGTGGATTACTGAGTCGAACTCTGGGCATCCTCACATTTTAGGACGGAATTTTTTATGTCAGAATGTGGAGAGGCCGTGAAACCACAGGCTTGACAATAATCACCAATAAACATTTGCTGATTGACTGATGCAAGCCTTTTGGCAACCTAATGACTATACTATGTGTTTCATTTCAATGAAGGAGAGGAAGCCCTTTGCCATACTGTCCTGTAGCTGTGCATAAAGTTTTTATTCAGACCTTTCAAGACCTTTTGTTGCATATCCCACTTTGGGCAGCTAGGTGGCACAGTGGATAGAGTGCTGGGCCTGGAGTCCAGAAGACTCATCTTCCTGAATTAAAATATGACCCCAGGCACTTACTAGCTGGGCAAGTCACTTAAACCTGTTTATCTCATTTCCTCATCTGTAAAATGACCTGGAGAAGGAGATGGCAAACAACTCCAAGAAGATATCCAATAAAAAAGAATCAGACACGACTGGAAAACAACTAAACAACAAATTTTACAATTGCCTGTGTGTTATTCTCCTATTACATTGTAACTTCCTTGAAGTCAGGGATTCTTCTTAAATATCTTCATATCTTATGGGGGTGGGGGTCAGGTTCAGTGATTAATGTTGCCAAAAAAGGAAAGAAAGACAGAGAAGAAAAAAAGAAAAGGAAGGAAGAAAAAAGTCATTGAAACACGTAAAAGAAAATGCACAAAAGAGAACAGAAGTTTGTGCTAATTTTCTCAGTATTGTAATTTTAGTATGTGTGTTGCAGAAATGAGCATAAAAATAGACATTCAAATGGAGGCACAGATAAACAGATAATCTGGACAGCTTTTAAATTAACATGTTGAATTGAACTATATATGTGTGTGTCATTTCATATTCAATCATCTTTTTTCCACTTGGGATATGGAAATGATGTTTGGATGTTTAAGTTCAGAATTTTAAAAATTAACAACTTTGTATCTCTCCCAGAACCTAACAGAGGGTACTACAACATTAAGTGGTTTTTTTTTTTAGTAGAGGTCTGGATGTGACCTTGAAGAGAGCAAGTTCTACCAAGCAGTAAGAAAAGAAGCCAGATTGTAAATCAGATTGAACAGTGAGTGGGAGGTGAGAAAGTGGAAATAAGAATGTGGACAGCTTTTTCTAGGAGTTCAACTGAAAAGGAGCGATATAGGACAACAGATGAACTAATTTAAAAAACAGAGCTCACTATCTCCCTCTTCCTCCTACCCCCATTCATCCCTCTTTATTTCTGTAGAGGGCACCACTATTCTTCCTCACTCAGGTTTACAATCTCAGAGGAAACCTTGATTTTTCACCCTACTAAATCCCACACATCCAAGTCAGTTGCCAAGTCTTATCAATTTTACCTCCATTTCTCTCACATCTTTCACCTTCTGTTCACAGGGCTGCCACCCTAGTTCACCCCTTACCTGAACTATTATGATAACTTCCTAATTAATCTCACTGCCTCAAATATCTCCCTTTTCCAATCAATCCTCTACACAGATGCCAAAGTGGTAGTCTTAAAGCACAGGTCTGACTGTTATTCCCCTGGTCCATAATCTCCTGTGGCTCTCTATCACCACCAGAATCAAATACAAACTCCCTCTGGCACTTAAAGCCCTTTACAAAGTGGCTGCAGCCCAATTTTCCGGGCATATTAGACACTATTCCCCTTCTCACATCTCGGCCAAATTCCACTATGTGCTGCTTCTCATGTATTACATGTAATACATTCCACTTCCTGTTTTCTTTGTAACTGGGCCCATACCTGGAATGCATTCCCTGATCACTACACTTCCTAAAATCTCTAGCTTCCTTCAATCCTCCCCTCAAATACTGCCCCTTATATGATGCATTTCTGGATCTCCATAACTGCTAGTGCATTCATGCCTTAGGTTACCTTGTATTGTTAAAAATAAATAATATTTATTTATGTAGATGTTTTTTCTTTTTTAATTTTAATTTTGAGTTTCCAATATTCACTTCCATAAGATTTTGAGATTTAAATTTTCTCCCCCTCCTACTTCTCCCCCCCCAACAGTGTACAATCTGATATAGGCTCTACATATACATTCGTGTTAAGCATATTTTCCCATTAGTCACAATGTAAAGAACAATTAGAACTAATGTGAGGAAGCACGAGAATGAAACAATAAAACAAAACAACAAAGGAAAAGGAGAGCAAATAGTATGCTTCCATCTTCATTCAGACTCCATATTTCTTTCTCTGGGTGTGGTTAGCAATTTTTCATGAATCTTTTGGAGTTGTCTTAGATTCTTGCATTGCTATGAAGAGTCAAGTCTATCAAAGTCAGTCATCCCATCGTGTGGCTGTTACTGTGTACAATGTTCTCCTGGTTCTGCTCATTTTGCTCTGCATCAGCTCATGTAAGTCTTTCCAAGTTTTTTTTTTGAAGTCTGCCTGCTCATCATTTCTTATAGCACAATAGTATTCCATTACATTCATATACCACAACTTGTTCATCCATGCCCCAATTGTTGGGCATCCCCTCACTTTCCAATTCTTCGCTACCAGAAAAAGAGCTGCTATAAATATTTTTGTACATGTGGGTACTTTTCCCATTTTTATGATCTCTTTTACAGACCTAGAAGTGCTATTGCTGGGTCAAAGGGTATGCACAATTTTATAGCCCTTTGGGCATAGTTCCTAATTGCTCTCCAAAATGGTTGAATCATTTTAGAACTCCATAGATGTTCTTTCTCTGATAAAATTTAAGGTCCTTGAGGGCAGACTGTTTCATTTTTTGTGTTTGAATACTCAACAGAATGTTTGATACTTAGTAAGCATTTAATAGCTTGCTGGTTTCACTGACACAATTCAGAACTAAGTGTCCCCCACTCTCCACTAGAAGTTCCCAAACTTATTTGGCCTACCGCCCCCTTCTCTTTTTTTTTTTTTAGGCAATTGGGGTTAAGTGACATTCCCAGGGTCACACCGCTACAAGTGTTTGGTCTGAGGCCGGATTTGAACTCAGGTCCTCCTGACTTCAGGGCTGCCCCAACTACTGCCCTCTTTTAAAAAAAAATTATTCAACCCTCCCTGGAAATCTACTTTCTTTAACCCTTTATTTTTTTTTTAATTTGCATCATTTCAAACTACTATCACCCCCCTGGATAGTCCCAGCACCCCCCAGGAAGCGGTATCACCCACTTTGGTAACCTATGAAAGAGAGCAAGACTATCCAGAGCCATATTAGACAAGGTGGTCTGGGAAACTCTGAACGGCTGCTCTCCATGGTACTGGAGATCATTGTTTGCTCTAGCTCTTCGGGTACATCAATGTTGGGAGCTTCCTTCCCCAGGTGTCCCTTGCACAGCATTAGTCTCTAGTGATCCATGTTTAATTAGGGTCTTATTCCCCAATCTGTTTTCCCTCTCTTCACACACACTCCATGAATACATGGAGCGATGGGGATACTAACTCTGTGTAAGCCAAGTCACTTAACCTTTCCCAAACTCTGTTTTCTCCTTTTTTAAAATAAGGGAATTGGATTAGATAACTCTAAGGTTCCTTCCACCTTGAAATCTTATGCCCTACGAGTGAGGGAGATAGAAGTTGGCATGTGGGAGCAAGATACATGGTAAAAGTTACCCAGGTATGTTAATTGTCTAGAAAAAGTTTTTTGCTATTTTTGAGGGGAAGCTGTTTTCAACAAGATGATGTAGTGGTAATTAGAACATTACTTTAAGTGATATTTCTTGCCACTACCATCTCCTGGGGAAACAAGTTCTATTAGATCATTGCCTGTCCTGAAATTCAGTGTTTGCTTTCATCTGTCTCAAACTTGCCTCTCCCACATTGCAACAGACCTACTTCATTCAACTTCTTGGGAATTCAGTGAATGAGTCCATGCTCATAATATCTGTGCTGTTCATTTTTGTTTTATTTTATTGGTAGAAATTGATCATATCCCATCTCAGCCTTCACTTTTACCTACAGAAGAGCTCATGTTTTTGCCCTCTGTTCTGAACCTGTTAGGTTCTATTTTTCTTTTCTTAAGATCTATTAGAATGTAAGCTCCTTGACAGCAAGGGCTGTGACAATTTTTATCTTTGTATCTCTAATGTGTTGTTGTCATTCAGTCATTTTTCGTTGTGTCCAACTCTTTGTGACCTCATTTGGGGTTTTCTTGGCAAAGATAATGGAGTGGTTTGCCATTTCCTTCTCTAGTTCGTTTTACAGATGAAGAAACTGAGGCAAAAAGGGTCAAGTGACTTGCCCAGAGTCACACAGCTAGTAAGTGTCTGAGGCCAAGGTTGAATTCAGGAAGATGAGTCTTCTTGATTCCAGGTCTGAAACTCTATCCACTTCACCATCTAGCTGCCCTTGTATCTCTAAAGTTTTCACATAGTGCCTTACATATGGTAGGAGCTCAGTAAATGTTTGCTGAATGATCTATACACCATAGTGCAGGAATAAACACAACATAGTCTTCTGTTTTATGTGGTAGAATCAGGTTTTTTAATTTTTTATTAGTGCTTTTCAAAAATTGGCCATGATTTCCTAAATAGAACCCTCTTTTACAACAAAACAGAGAGGCATAATGAGTCATACACTAGACTTGGTGGCAAGAAGACCTGGATTCAAATCCTGTCTCTGAAATTTTCTTAGCTGTGTGACCCTGAGCAGTCATCAAACCTCTCTGTGCTTCAGTTTGTTCACCTATTAACTGAAGAGAATTCCTGTTGTACCTACTTCAAAGAGTTGTGGCGAGACTCAAGTGAGATAATATATGTAAAGTGTCTTACAAACTTTAAAGCACTATGCAAATGTTGACTATTGTTACAGTATTAAAGTGAAGCAAAACAACTGGCATTGACTCTGTGGACAACATAGGCCTCATTCCACATCTGTTTCCCCCATATCTCTGCTGAGAGAAGAGAGATATATTTCATAAACAGTCTTTCTGGAGTCAAAAACTAGTGTTTTCATTGTTTTCAGTCCTGAGTCTTTTAGGGTTATTTTCATTTATGTTGTTATGGTTATTGTATGTAGTGTTCTCTTGGTTCAACTTATTTTGATCATATCCGCTCTTAAAAGTCTTTCTAAGTTTCTCTGAATCCTTCATAGTCATTATTTCTTAAATGTAATGTTCTACTCTATTCACATATCACAATTTGTTCTGCTACTCCACAATAAATAGGCATCCATCTCATTTCCAGGTTGCTGCTACAAAAATGCTGCTATACTTTCTGTCATTGATCTCCTTGGGGTATATGTCCAATAATAGAATTATTGGGTCAAAAGGTTTTTTTTTAAATAATTTTTAATTATTTAATTTAACAGACTTTGAATAATTTGGATAATTCCAAATTATTTCAAGATTCTTTGAATTCACTCATTTAAAGGTACCCTGCAAAAATAACCATTATTGGTTTTGAGGCCAGATATATCTTCCATTGTATATTAATAAATTGACTTTCTGGTTTATAAATAAGTATCTTATGCATCAGTCTTCCAATACCTGACCACCATTAGGGTAACTGATAAAGGTAAGTTTCTAAAACAGACTATATAGATCATGATGGTGCCCCATCACTGCCACCACAACTAAGGTAGGGCCAGTTTTTAGTAGGCCACATTACCCCTTTTACCCCCTTTTCCTTCCTTCCTTCTTTTCTTCCTTTCTCTATTTCTTCCTCTGTTCCTTCCTTCCTGTTAAGTTTTATCCCATAAAATGAATATCATTCTGATGTAGCACCTAAGAGTGCTATATGGTCAGCATGAGACAATTGGGACATGTACAGTTATACTCATCACATCTTCCACTTTAGGACAGTACAATTTGACTCAAAAGATAATAACACAAGCACCTCTTTAGAGATAATGCTGGGGCTTATTAGCAGTTTTAAAAATTCTCATCCCCAGGTGCATATGAAAAACCTAAAAATGCACTGGAAGCCCCAGAGCTACTGGCTGTTAAATCCGGTGTATGTCCAATAGAACTGGAAATTGCTTCCTTAGTGAACTCTGGGTCGAAGTGTCTTAAGTCAGCAGGCCCCACCTTGGAAGAAAAAACATGAAAGAGAATGGGATGTGAAGTTTAATGCATGCTTCAGATAAAGGGATTCTGAAATTGAAGTCTGTGAACAATAGATAGACAGATGATATATTTTGATAACTTGTTTCCAATATGATTAGTTTTCTTTATAATCCTATGTATTTAAAAATATTATTCTAAGAAATGGTCCATAGGCTCCCCCAGAGTGCCAAAATGATCCAGGACAGAAAATAAAATTAAGAATCTCTGCTTTAGAATAAACCTGCTCTTGACTAATATGGAAATATGTTTTACCTGATTGCATATATATAATCTACACTAAATTGCTTACCATCTTAGGGAGGAGGGAGAGGAAGGAAAAAGAGAGGGAGAAAATTTGAAACTCAGAATTTTATTTAAAAAAAATGTTGAAAATTGTCATTATATGTAATTGGAAAAAATAAAATATATTTAAAAGAAAAAAATAAGCCTGCTCGCTCACAGCCAGATACCTGACTCACAAAGGTAGAGATATCTATAATATCCAAGCAGTTATGGACCGTCTGTGCACTACTCTGCCATGACTTTCCAATTACATTTCCATCAGATCTGCTCTCACATCAACCTTCAACATGTCTCCTTGCTATCACTAGGTCTTCAGAGCAATGGAAAAAGGAGAAATGAAAGAGGAAGGCAGATGAAAATAATGAAAACCAAAGTTTATCCTCCTCCACTTTTGGTTAGGAAGCAGAGGGGCAGATAGATAAACTGAAGCAAGTGATATTTGTGCTTCTGAACCAAATTAATTACAACGATGAAGAGTAACTGAGTAAATAATGGCATCCTCTTACCACATTTGGATTGAAAGGAGGAGTGAGTCTCTTGTGGTATAAGTCATCCCAGTTTATTGGGCTAAAGAAGACATGATTCTTTATCTCAAGCTGCAAGAAGAAAACACTGTTTTAGAGAATAATATTACCCTATACATTAGAGCTGCCACTATACTAAGAGTCTTTGTTCTACCCTGCAAATTTTAGAAATAAGAATATTCACTCTTCAGTATGGCAATAGTATGGGAGAGGAAACAGAGCCGGTTGTCTTGGAATTAGGAAGATGCAAGTTTGAATCTTGTTTCTGATACTTAGATGTGTGAGCCTTGGGGAGTCACTGAGCCTCTCTGACCTTCCAGTTTCTCTTCTGTAAAATGGGGATAATCCCTGGAAGTTTCCTTTACAAGGGTTTTTCTGAAACTCAAGTGACATGTCTGTAATACATTTCATAAATCTTAAAATGTTATATAAATATGAGCTAATATCATATTCATCTTACAAGCCTCCAAATATTTGTTTTGAACTTAAGAAGTAGTTCAGTCTTATCTCCTGGGTCACAAAGGATAATTAAAAAATAATTCTGTTATAGTTAGTATCTCTACCACCTTCATTAATAATAATGACTATTACTGTTGTTATTATATGTAGCAAGGTGGCACAGTGGACAGAGCAGGGGAGTTTGGATTAAGGAAGATCTGAGTTCAAATCCTACTTCAAGACACTGACTAGCTGTGTGACTCTAGGAAAGTTGCTTAACCTCTCTGTCTTTTCCCTCATCTGTAAAATGGGGGTAATAATAACATCTAACTCACAGTGTTGTTGTAAGGATAAGATGATATAATGTATGTAAAACATTTTTCAAACCCTAAAGTGCTATGTAAATGATAGCTATTATTATTAATAATATTAACTGACATTTATATAGCACTTAAATATACGTGAAGCACTTATATATATTATTTCATTTGATTCCCAACAACCCTTGGAAGTAGATGCTACAGTGAATATTATCCCCATTTCACAGATGATGAAACAGGCCATATGTGTCACTTCTTACACTAAGAATTTTGGTAACTGATGGTTCTCGGATGTTGAAAAATACAACTAATTGCCCCAATCTTCCTACAAGGGAAATGTGCAGCATCTATTCATTAAGAAGAAAGGGGAGAGTGAAGAGCCAAACTAATCACAGAGCTCTTAGAACATAATTAAATTTGAATCTCAGGTACACATTCAAATGGGCAGTGAAGTAGTACAGTGGATAGAGTGCAGGGCCTGGAGTCAGGAAGACTCATCTTCTTGAGTTCAAATCCAGCCTCAAACACTTACTAGCTGTGTGACCTTAGACAAGTCACTTAACCCTGTTTGCCTCAGTTTCCTCATGTGTAAAATGAGCTGGAGAAGGAAATAGCAAACCACTCCAGTTTCTTTGCCAAGAAAACCCCAAATGGGTCAGGAAGAGTCAGACATGACTGAAAGGATGGAACAACAACAACACATTCAAAGTCTCACCTTCAAGACAGATTCTCTTCCTACCCATCCCTGCCCCGAACCCTTCAATCAATACAAGTATCAATGCCCTGTGTCAGTCCTGAGGAAGTTTCCTGTCATGGTTTAGGATCATAGATTGAGAGCCAGAAGAGACCTCGGAGGTTATGTAGTCCCACCCATGATTATATTAGTCAAGGAAACTGAGACCCAGAGAGATTAATTAACCTCTTCAAGGTCACTCAGGTAGTAAGGTAGGATTTGAACCCAGGTCCACTGACTCCAGTGCCAATACTCTTTCCATTTCACCATGCTGCCTCTAATGTAACTGTACCTATACCACTTTATATAGTTGGTTCTGTTAAGCATATGACACAGTCCCTCCTCCTGGAAAACATTAGACCTAATAGGAGGGGGAAAATTGGCCTCAGATTACTGGAATACGTCACCATTTTCTGCTTTGGAAGTGAAGGACTTAGATTATAAGCAGGAACGTTTAGATTAGATATTAGGAATGACATCTGAATTTGAGTTGGGCATCTCTCCTCTATAAGGTGGTGTGGAAGAAGCTATCATTCAAAGACAATGTGACCAGAGACAGGGAAACAGACTAGGTGAGCTGTCAAAGCCCCACCCTTAGGCATTAGGCATCCTTTTAAACCATAGTCTTTGATGAAGTTAGGCCACCTGTATTTAAAAAACACTTCTGTTCTTGACGTTAAGAAACCACTAGGAGCAGAGGACGTGGGGTGGGAGAGCGCAGAAGAGAGCCCTCAGAGACCTATCACATACAAAGTCTGTTTTGGCACCCAGTCTTTTCTTCTGGTCCTTTTGGAGAAGGCCATGCAGGAGGTCACAGGCTGCCACTGTCTTGCCTCCTGGGATCTGGAGAGGCTTGTGAAGGATGTTCTCATACATTTCAGAAACATCTCGGCTGTAGAAAGGTGGCTGCCAGATAGGGAAAGAAAGAAAGAAGAGACCTATGTCTGATCATAGATCAGGGACTAATGAGAAGTAAATAACATTTTTTTTCAGAGAATCTAGCACTTGAGATTTTTATTTCAGGAAAAAAAAAAAAGACAACATACCTGCTAAATGCAGCAGAGACCCACAAGTCATATCCCTAGAAAATAAGATCAACTGGACACTTTGTATACCCTTCAGGAGAGAGAACTCTGTAGTAAAGTAGTATCCAGTGACAGAATCTCAGAGTTGGAAGGTACCTCAAAGGCATCTTATCCAACTTTTGCCCGAATAAGAGTCCTATCTTGAACACGCCTAGCAAACAGTTTTCTAACCTTGGCTTGGAGACTTCCAGGTAGAGAGAACTTCCTACTTCCTAAGGCATCCCAGCAAGCTTTTCCTAGAAATAAGCACAAGCCTCCCTTCCTGAGACTTTTTCCAGTCTCTCTTAGATGTGCCCTGTGGGTCAAGCAGAACAAGTTCTACCCTGTGGGCTCAAGTCTAACCCCTCTTTCAAATTTCAGGCTTTTAAATATTTTTGCGTCGGTGTAAATTTTTTATTCATTTTAAACTTAAATAAAAAACGAGAAAAGGAAAAAAAAAAGAACATTTCCACGTACACAGCAGAACATAAGAGAGGATTCAATATAAAACAATAAATTTCCATTTCAAGAAAACCTAAGTAATAAATACTGTACATTGTTTTCAAAGCTACCCAGCTTGTCTTTTACTTTTAGGTTTTCTTGTTCCTTGCTGTGCACTTTCTACCTAATTTTTTTTCTCCCTCCCTTCACCCCTCCAGGCTTTTAAATACTTGAAGATAGTAATCATGTTCTCTACTATTAAATCATCTCTTCTCCAGGCTAAATATCGCCAGTTCCTTTAATTGATCCTCATAAGACATGACTTTGAGGACCTTCACTATTGCAGTTACTCTTCTTCAGATGGTCTCCCAAAATGTGGTGCCCAGAATAAAATAGAATACTGATCAGGACAGAGCATAGCAGATCCACCACTGCCCTAGTCCCGGAATACTATGCTTCTCTTAATGTAGCTTAAAATGGTGAGTTCTTACACAAATAAAAAGAAAAAGTTAACCCATTACCATGTCCCAGAACAGGGGTTCCCAACCTGGAATGTCTCCAGAGGGTACATGGAATGTTTGGTAAATAACTACATTATTTATGGAAATTATTGTTTTATTTCTTACATGCATTTGCATTGTAAACTCTAAAATTTATTTCCTTTCTTATTAAATAGGGAGTATAATTGAAATTTAAGGGACTTGGGGCCAAAAAAAAGAGCTGGGAACCCTTAGCTTAAAGGGAATTGCCTTGGTGGGAGGTTTATGGATATCCCAAGAAATTTTTATGCAAAGAAACATCATTCATGAGTTTGCTTCTCTCTTCTGTAGTTGTCTTCTCTCTCCCCATCCCCAATCCTTTCCTATTTATTCCAACCTTTTCTTTTCAGTTCTTCACTTTCCTCACTCCATATAACCCTTTTCCCTTTTTGCCTTCACCTTCTTATCCATCTTTATTTTGTCTTAGCCTATAAGTTCCTAGAAAGGAGGAATGCTTAATTTGGTTAGCTAAATTCTCCTACAAATTATATAACAGTACTAAAAAGCAATTTCATTTAAGTATTCAGGTTAATATCGACTGAATATTATAATGTTCTAACACTTACCAAGCCACAGAGCATTTCATAAAGAACAGCCCCCAAACACCACCAGTCAACTGTTCTGTCATAAGGTTGTTTTCTCAATACTTCAGGAGCCAAATACTGTTGGAAAAATAATACAGAAGAACTCTGATCAATGCCATAACCAATCATGATTCCAGAGGACTGATGAGGAACAATGCTACCCACCTCCTGACAAAAAGGTGATGGATTCAAGTTGTAATAATGAGACATATATTTTGGGATGTAAATAATGTAAGGATTTATTTTTCCTGATATGCATATTTGTTTTAAAAAGGGGGTTTGCTTTTCTTTTTTCTTTTATATGAGAGGAAGGAGAGAAAATAAATGCTCACTAACCGAAAAATAAAATAAAACTGTAAGCAAGCATATCGACCCCTACAAAGCTGCATGCAAAAAGGATTTTGCCAGTGCTGGCTAGCTTTGTGACCAAGGGCAAATCATTTCTTTTTTTAAAAAAAAATACTTTATTTTTCCCCAATTACACATAAAAACAATTTTTAACCTTTTTTTTTTTTAGTTTTGAATTCCAAATTCTATCCCTCCTTCCTTCCCCTCCTCTCTCCTTGAGATGGTAAACGATCTGACACAGGTTATACATGTGCAATCGTGTAAAATATTTCCATATTGGTCATTGTTTACAGGAAGGAAAGAAGGAAGGGAGGAAAGAAGAAAGGAAGAAAGGAAGAAAGAAT